ACTTGAGAAGGAGAAAATTTAAGCCACATCTTAAAATATACAAGAGCTGCATTTATTTTAAATTAAATATCATCTTATATATAGATATACATACACACATGCAAAATTAAAAATAAATTTCATTCACAATTTTTACACACTTTAAAATTAGCTATCAATCCAATTAAAAACTAAAATACTTACTTGATGCTACAGTATAAGAATAACTTTTTACATTGTTTATATTTAAATATTATTTTAACACATACATTTTCAGTGCCAAACTGCATGCTATTCACACTTTAAGGTTAATAAAAATATAGACCAACCTTTCTAATACAGATGATCTCTATGATAATGCTCCCAAAATATAAACAATAAGAATGTACTGTGACTTTCAGTGTGTGAGACTTTTGTTTGCTTTCACATTCACAACTAAACAGGTTCTTGTTTATCTTGTACAAGTTGCAAGGAATTCCCTGAAAATGGCTAAAATAACACAGACCTGTCTCTTAATTCAGTTTTAATTCAAACAAACTGTGGCTAGAAAGTTGAAGGAGGCATGGATAATGAAATTAGATAAACTATGAAGGGTTGTGTTTGTTCTTCATTATGTCAGAGTTGGTCATAAATATTTTGTTGTTTTTGGCCAATTGAATGGGGATTTCTATAGACCTAGCAGTAACTCCTACACCACAATGAAATTTCAAACATCTGTTATTTGACAAATTAGTGTAAATCCCCTGAACAAAGTCATGTATACCTAATGATTACTTTTCACCTATACAATGATCCCTCATCAAGCCCCTCCTGGGTCTGCAGGTCCCCTGTAGCTAATTAAAGCAGGGAGAGAAAAAATTTCCAAGCCCTAGACTTTTGGCACCCTGTCACACACAAAAGTTTAGAAATGGCTAAAGAACATTGAATTGCTGAATCCAGTCAAACCATCCAACTGTTTAACACTTGAAACTTATTATCCCCCAAAAACTGTGATATTGTATATCCTGCCTGGTAAATCAGCACAAGGGGGGTCTTTGTTTGGTTCTGCTTAGAGTCTTAGTCTTTAAAATCCTGCTGAAACAATTCAACTGTTCTCACACTTGAGGTCATGACATATTCTCAACAATGACCAAAGGGACTTTCCAATTGCCAATCAATTTCCCTTGTCTATAGAAGACCCATAAATTTGGGTCAATGAAATTGCAATCATGACCTTCATTTAGATTTCATTAGATAGCCCCATAAATTTGCCATAAACCTCAATAACTTTTAAACAGCTGAGCTCCCTTGGGATGGCATGGCTGAGAGAGGATGAATGATTCCCCTGTTATCTGACCAAACCCCTCCCTGAGAGATGAACATTATACTCACCAGCGATGATTCGCTCAAAGAGCTGGACAGTATCAAATCTATACATTATCACAAGGGGAAATTGAACTCATCCAGAATGAAATTATCACTTAAACATCCACCTGTTTTACCATGGAACGACTGAATGAAGTTGTGTAATACCAAGTCAAATGTTTATAATCCTTGATACCCTAGCAGTAATTATAGGTGTTAATTAACTTGTCAACATTTAGACACCAGGAAGACTTCCAGTTTTTTTTTTTTTTTTCCAAATTCACTTTTCTCCAGCTATGGGTACCTTGAAGCCTAATATCGTCACTATAGGAAAGGCTGGTAGCTGAGCAAGGCTTGTGTAGATTTTAGCCCCTGATTACATTGTCTGTGATCATGTAATTCTGACCAGACACAGATGACAGCTGAGTGAATAATGGGTCAGTGTTGACACTGGTGACAGAACAAGATAGAGATACAAGAGGATAAGACCCCCATCCCCTAAAATACAGTTATATCAGTGTTAAAATCTTACAAAAAATCACAGTTCTATTGTGATTTCAATCTCAGAGGTGTGCAGACATGTTTTCAAACCTGTTTATTTATTTTGTGTAGTTAGTGAGATACTAGAATTTTAAAATTTTATTTATAAATATTTTTTTAAAGATTTTTTTTAATACAAAATAGACTGAAAAATCTTGATACAAAGAAAATTAAAGATTCAGTTTTGATTGAAATATATTATTACTATACATGTGAAATAAATTAACAATCAAAATTTAGAACATTTTTAAATATTACTTAACAATTTAATTTCAGAGAAAATGTTTTAAAATTTTCAAATTAATTAATAAGCATCCATGGTATTAAAAAGGCTGTTTAGAGTAAAAATGTTATAGTTTCATGTAAATGATTAGATTATACATTTCTCTAAATATAATAAATTTCATTCACAACCCACATGCTCTAATGAAAATTTCCTGCATTTCAAAAGTATTGGGAAGAGAGATCTACAAGTGTGGATATTTTCTAATAATAAAAATAAAATTTTGTTAATTGTGAAATTTTTCCAAATGCAATAATCAAATCAGCAAAAAACAAATGGTTGAAAATAAAAAAAAATCATGCCCCCCCCCCCCCCCCAAAAAAAAAGTATTTCAAGTTTCAAATACATTAACATTTCAACAAAATCATCTCTGTAAATATTTTCAGGGAAGACAGTTAAAAAAAAACTGCTGAAAATGTTTTCCCCCATTATTTACTTTAATTTTTTTTTAAAACTAAATGTTACTACTTTTCTCATTTTCAAGAATTATTTTATTGTGTGACAGCTAGGTTTTCATTATCATAAAATGCCAAAACTCTAGATTTATCAGAAGTTAATACTTTAATCACCCACAAAAATCCCCTTGTTTTTAACATGGCAAAGCTTAAAACTAGGAAACAAAAAAGCTGTATCTTTGTTTACACAGTTAGTAATGATCCCTTGTTTATTAAATGCCACAGGACAACTTATCAAATGTTCCCATCACCTGGTCATCATTATACATTTATACACACAGTGCTTTTGCAATATTTATGTTCATCTTTATGGGCTTTCAAATTATGTGACATAATTACGTCCATATATCAATGCCAATTTTTGAACTACTTCACCTATTATTACAAATTATGAGAAGTAAAAAAAACACCTTGATCTTCATAATGAAATTTTATCCAGAAGATAAAATCCCCCCTCTCCCTATAAAATTACATTTAACCTACTAATTGAGTTAAAATCTATTAGAACTTAGTTTCATGTCAAAAAAGGAGATTAAATTAAATTATTCATCCCATGAAGATCATTGTTATGCTCTCTATAGCATTTCATTATTTCAGTGAAATGTTATTTACCATCCTTCCTCAAAGTGGTAGACTAATAATTAGAACCTATTGAATTCTTTAGGATTATACCATCTTAATTTATCTCTTCCTTTGTAAATGACAAAAGACTGATTTGTTTTTACAGGAATTGACTGTGTATATTATATTATTTTTCTCATTAATTGCTGGACGACAGACAGGCAGTCTGGCTTATTGTATTCTGATAATAAAAGTGTTAAATGTGTTTTGGGTGTGACACCTTTATAAATAATGATTATTTTTCTTTAGTTTGTTTGGTAACTTAGTTTACACAACATCATCTATATTATCAGAATGACGGAATTAAAATGAATAATTTCATTCTGGTTGTAACACACCATTTGATTGGATAGAAAATTTCATTTATATCGTATAACTGTGTTGCCTACGTCACAATGACTAACGTACTACGTCAAAACGTATCAACTGCTTGACGTTACATTTAAAATCTGAAGAACTTTGAAGGCCTTTTTGAAGGGAAAATTGTCTAATTTTTTTATACTTAATGATAGAAATTTATATTATAAGGAATAAATTTAATAGCCACTCAAGTTATACTTGTATAACCTGGGTTTGAACAGTTTTCACTTTTTTATAAACCACTTCACGGTTTATAAAGCGTAAACTGTCCCAACCCAGGTTATACACCCAGTATAACTTGGGTAGCTATTAAATTCATTTCTTTATTGTAAAAAAAAAAAAATACTGCCAAAAAAAAAAAAAACAAAAAAACAAAAAAAAAAAAACAAAAAAAAACCAATACCTAGGATGGTGAAGAAATATGTCTTAAAAGTCTAAATAATTTGCCACTATAAATAAATTATGTATACTATGTTAAAATGTCCTGTAGATAATAATGTGAAAGAAAATTATTTTGGGTATACCATATGAGATACATTAAAATTTTAAATCTTGAGTTTAAACTTATATCCATAACTATCATTTAGATTAGTATTCTGCTGCTGAAAAGCATATATTAATATATTTTAATTTCATCTTGTTTTTGCATGATATATTGAACATGTCATTTACATACGATAAGAAATTAAAAATAATTGGGGTTTTCCCAGTTCTCTAAGATTCTCTAGGGTTCTTTGTTTAGTAATATATGCCATAGTCCACCTCTGTTCAGAGAAACTGGAACTAAATGATGTCCACATTTATAGTAATTACACTCATTTAAATCATTAACCACATTCAAATCTTGTGGCCTGCTGGACGTCATATGCAATGTGCAGTAAACAAATAGATAATACTACTTGTGTCTTAGGACAAACTTTCATAAGGAGAATTATCTTAATGATAAATCTGCAGTCAAGTTCATTATTGATATGGCATAGATAAACATATTTTCACGCCAGCAGTTTGTTTATCTAATAAATCATTAGCAACAGTGATGTAAATTGAACACATAGTTGAGCAAGGGCCCCGCATGCAGATTTTTCTAAATTTACAATCTGTGTCAGGTCAAAAGGATCCGACATTTATCTAAACACGCACAGCAGCATAGTGATAAACTGGACTCCCCAGAGACCATTATTATTTTGTTGCTAAATTCAAGGATTTGGACTAGCTTTGTCTAATAACATTGATACATACTGCATATTTATAATATTATAAATTCATAGATATTTTGTTGATGATCTTACATCTTTTTTACACTTTATCTAACGTTTTCCACTTCTCTCTCTTGAAATGGCCGCGTCATGAAGTAAAATAATAAACGATTGGTTACGCTCTTTATTTACACCATATTTCATTGGGTGCCTCGTTTTAAAACCAAGATGTCTGCGCCCTGTAGAAAAAAGAAATCCTACTAACGAATTCAGACACAATACACCAAGAAGTGCAAATATCGGGTAATTTGATTAAAATTTAATAACATTAAATGAAAAGTATATATAAACTAGAAATTCTGGTTCTAAAGTTTTGCACTGATACAAAATATCTCAATAAGTGAAGTATTTACAAGGCAATATCCGTTAGGGAAAAATCTGTAAAATTTAATGATTAATCTTCTCAAGAACAACAAAGCCATGATTTGTCATATATAAATATGCAGTCACCCACAGGTAGTGCAAATTCAAATTCAAATCATGATCATGATGGCCCAGGGAAGAGAGGGGGGGGGGGGGTAGAGCACATGATTAAGGAAAATGGGAATGGGAAATAAATTTTTTAAAATATTCTTTTGAAGAATACCAGGGCAGGAATAGTCAAAGTGTTTTCCAGACTTTTTCTTACTGTGCTTGCAGAAAATGAGTTGATGTTTGGTAAGTGTTTGTCTTGATATTGATGACCTGCAGATCAAAGGACAAGTGCACTTAAGCAATGCTTAATGGGCCCTTTTTCAGTGCCGTTTGACTTTAGAATATAGCACCAAATTGTTCTTTTCTTGTAATAGTTAAACACAAGTGGATATTTCTAATTAAAATCATGTTAAAACATCACCTAAATCACCATGGATTTGAAACAAATGAAGATTTTTAAATACCTATAGCTACCCCAAATCTGGAAAAGTCATACCGCACCTATTTTGAGTTTCGTTTATTTAAATCAAGGGGAGGAGACATTTAAATCGGACACTTGAACAATCTGATGGTGGATCATTGATGGGCGTGTTTGCCGAATGATACTTGCGCTATTTTACTTGAGAAAAAAAATTCGAATGAAGGTGTATAGATGCCTGTAGCCATAGTGAGCAAACTAAGAAATTTGCACGCTTGCATTAGAAATAATACAATAAGTATTACCATTAGTTCCTTTAAATTTTAAAATGAAAAAAGTGTATTTAGGTGGCTTTCAATACCAGTACCATTGTCTTGCATGAATGTTAAAAATGTTTGACGCTTTTGTGTATAATGGTGACATTTTAACGACACTAAACTCTCCTAACCCTTCCGTGTTCCTAAAACCAAATACATACAAACTTCCCTATGCGGCACGACTTCGATATAATCAACGTGGCTATCTTTTACAGTGAGCACCTTCGAGGAATGTTTACCTAGGTAGAACTCATGTGACTACCGGTATTTTAAATAATTTATTCCACGGGTGGGTTCAACATAGGTCATACAGGTAAATAGCTCTCGCTTGCTATAGGAAAAACATTGAACTTTTCATACATTTTTAATGTTTTAAGTACGAGCCTAATCTTGTACAAATTTCCTACTTTCACACAAGTTTTATAAATGTATAGTGTGCTTTTTGTCATTCGCACAAGTTTGTACAACGTTAGGCTGACAGTAAACAAGAGCTTTGAAATGAATGACCGTCCTCGATTTACTATAGAAAATCACGAATGTCGGCTGACCCCTACCACATTGTATGGCTTTGCTCTTTGTATATTCATGAATTTCATCGATAAAATTTGTTGAATCTTATGGTTTAGATATCAATTAATGATCTGAGATGAAAAATTATGCTTAATTTGATTCTTCATTTTTTCACATTTTACCGGGGCCCATAAGTGCACTTGTTCTTTGAGTTTAAAGTCAACCTTTTTTCTAGATAGGATAATCTAACTGTGTCTCGGGACAAGCCCTCACCACAGTTAGAATATGTCTTATATAGTTGCAATATAGTTGCAATGTAGCAAAATAAAGCGGGTTTGAAACGATTTTGAGGAATACAAATGGAGTTACACTGAAAATAACTACCAAATTAATCATAACAAACCTTTTTTAGCTTGTATATACCTTCTTCCATAAAAAATAATCTAATATAAAGACAAAAATTCAACTCATTTTGTAAACATTTTTCCTTGTGAATTTTCATGCTATGTTGTCATTTGGAACTCTGGATTATTTGTAGTAAACGTAGAATTATCTGCCCCTGTTTATTTTGCTACATTGACAACACGTGGAATAAATTCTTTCGTTAAACCTGGTCAGTAGGACAATATCATTTTAACGATAAAACATTTTATCTATCCAATTTTCATGAAACTTACTGCCCTTGGACTTCGTCTTTTCCTGACTTTTCTTACTGTGCTTGAAGATAATAAGCTGACTTTTCATGCCCCCATATCGAAGATTGGGGGGTATATAGCTTTTTCCCTGTCCGTCCGTCTGTCTGTCTGTTTGTCCGCAAAAACTTTAAACTTGCCTATAACTTTTGATTCTGGAGCTATGGATTTCATATTTCACCTTTATATTCCTTGTGACAAGACCTTTCTTTGAATACCAAAAATTTTGACCTCTTGACCTTGACCTTGGAGTTTGACCCACTTTTGCAAAAAATTACCCAAGTTTAACCTTGGGCTGGCCATAACTTTTGAACAGTTGAAGCTATGGCTTTTTTAGTTTGCATGTATATTCATTGTGACAAGACCTTTCTATGGGTGTAAATATTTTGACTTTTGACCTTGACCTTAGAGTTTGACCCACTTTTAAAAAACTTTAACCTTGGCCATAACTTTTGAACAGTTAGTACTAGGGCTTTCAAATTTCACAGGAATATTCCTTGTGACAAGACCTTCCTAACAATTTTGACCTTTTGAACTTGACCTTGGAGTTTGACCTACTTTTGAAAAACTTTAAATTTGGCCAGAACTTTTGAACAGTTGGTACTAGAGCTTTTATATTTTGCATGTATATTGGTTCTTATGACAAGATCTTCTTGTCCCCTGTGTACCATTAATTTTGACCCTTTGACTTTGACTTTGGAGTTTGACCCACGTTTAGAAAACATTAACCTTGAGTCCTTGACTATAACTTTTGAATGGTGGGTGCTTGGGCTTTCATATTTACCAGGTATATCCATTGACACAAGTTCTTTTGTTGGGTAACAACATTTTTGATCTCTTGACCTTGGAGTTTGACTTGCATTTGAGAAACTTTAACCTTTGCCATAAGCTGTTTAACATCTTGTTTAATATGTTTCTTCATATTGATGACTTAAAGATCAAAATCAAGTTTCATGTTGTCAGTTGACCCATTTTTACAATAGTAATTGCCCATAGACTTTGAAAATTAGTTATTCACAGTTTTGCTGACTATTTTTGCTGTGCTTTGTGATCATAAACTTATTTTAGGTATGTCTCTTTATATTGATGATTTACAATCCAATTTGAGTTAAATTCATGTGAACTGATCAATTTAAAAAAAAAATTATGCAATAGATTTTCAAAATTTTATTATTCACTCTTTTCAGAACTTTTTTTGAAACTGTGTGTTTTTAGTTGATCACATTTTTACACAGCTGAATATGACAACGAAATCAAGAAAATGAAAGCAGAAGTATAATATTCCATTTGTGTATTATTTCCATGCTTTAGTAGCAGTTTCTTCATAGCATTTAACTTTAAAAATACATGTGTACTTAAATATTTGCATGTCAGATGTTGAATTTGTGTCCAGTTGATCATACATTAAATTTCCAGCATAGGAGAGTAAGAATGCCAGAAGAAACTTCTTTTCGTCTTATGGATGAGAAGCATGTATCTGTGGAGGTGGAGTTCATGTTGTGGTCCCCAAAGTTTGACCTAATTGCACTGGCCAATGTACAAGGGGAGGTAACAATAAAAATTAAAAAGTTACTTGTGTAGGACAACTCTTTATGATCTAATATACCCAAGTAATAATAGTTTAAAAAACTTGATTTTTTGTGTGTGAATATTTTCTTGTAGGTGGTACTTCACAGACTGTCGTGGCAGAAAGTCTGGTCTGTCCCTCCCCCATCAGAAGACGTCAAGGTTAAATCTCTAGCTTGGAGACCAGATGGGAAAGGTAATGAAATGAAACTAATACTTAAATATTTGTCAATTTTAAATATTTTATTTATTTTATATGAAGCAGATGTTAGACATATATTTTTGGTTTAATTTTATGAAATAAAAACAAAATGATTCAGTGCAACATTTGAAATAAACCTGTTTAAATAAGTAAAACGAGAAAAAAAAAAAAGATTTGCAAACTTTGAATTAAAAGAGCCCCTTTCTTAAGTTTTGGAAATAATCAAGCAAAAATAATGAGGCAATTACCTGCTATTATAATGACGCATAATAATAACCAGGGTTGTTCTTTTAAAAAAGAATTAATTTTTTTTCTTTTAAGAATTTGATCAGTACATACAGTACAACCATTCTTGATCAAAGACAAAATTGAAAATAAGATATTGCTGTTAACTAATAATACTAGTCACACTTAACAAAGCTTACTTGTAAATAAATAAACACAGTGATGGTACTGTCTAAATTGTGCAGAATTTTTTTTTAAAAATGCTTTTGAATCTTTTAGTATATTTATGAGCACATGCAATAAATTAAACACACACTGAATTAACAATTGTTTAGCCAGTAAATTGTGACTGCAAATGCAAGAATGAAAGATATAGAATTATTGCAAAGAACACAAAAATACCTGAGATACAGATATGGAATTTTGTACCTCTGGATTAATATGAAATTGCAAAAAGATTTATGTATCTTTGGAAAGAGTTGTTATTAGCTTGAAAGTTGTGATAGGAATACTAGAAAGACAATATTTAAATTATTAAAAAAAAAAATAGAATATGAGGTATAATGGCCTGCTCTGTAGGATAAACCAAGAATAGATTATTCTAAAAGGAAAGGCAATTTTGTAATTCTCATTCTGAATAATATTCTTGACTAGTTCACCAGGAAGAAATTTTACATTTTAATAGACAGTATATATTTCAGTGGTAGCCGCTGGTTATACCGATGGAAAAATCAATTTGTACCATATAGAAAATGCAGACATCCTCCATTCCATCAGCATGGAAGAGGAGATAACTTGTATGGAGTGGGTCTGTCAGTTCTCACCCGATGGCACTGTATGGAAACCCGATCCTTACAAAGAAGACAATTTCAAAGAATATCTCCCCAAGTTACAACCTCTCAATAAAAGGTGGGTACTGCTGGTTTTATTGGAATTTTCATGATAAAAACAGCATTTACTCCCTATCTATCCATAATGGTAAAAAAATTAGTTTTTTAATTTAAGAGACACTGCTTTCAAACCTATATGTTTTTAAGAGTACATAGATTTGTATAATTTCTTTGTGTTTTTATTATCCAAGGATAATAGTATTCATTTTAAGAGACAAATTTGGTAATACATGTATGTAATATATTACATATAGTATATTTGTTTTTATATATATTTTGCAGCTATGGCACTCTTTCTAAAGTTTTGCCCACGTAAGTAAAAATTATTGGGGTGAAACATACATGTATTTTAGTGATCTAAGGATAAAAATGTTTGACCCTGCACACACTATGTCTGTTGTTAAAAATTGTTCATATTTATCATCAAGAGTAAAAAGCCACAAATTTTGGTGAAAATCTGGTTGAAAAAATGATACTGATTGGAATCTTTATATCTTAAATTGTTCTGAGAAAGTAGATTTATATACAGCTTTTATCCCCATGTTTTAACAGGTCGGGTACACTACCTTTTATGGAAGGCACTTTTCAACTCGTGACAATGTTTTCGTCAAACCCATTCTCCAATTGATTGAATGAATCGCAAAGCATGACAGTCTACTACTTGTTTACAATTCAACAGTGACATGTGGTTTTCGTCAGATTACTGCATAATATTTACTTTGTCACTGGAAAAACCGTACAGCTTCTTTTTTACTTTCTAAGGCTGAAATTGAAAGATTATAGTCCAAAGACACTGTTCCATGCTCACATTTAATACTGGAGTTGTTCTAGATGATTAATAATTGCTTCAAATACCGTACAAAACGCTTTGACGTTTGCATGTACATAAAAACATTTTGATGATACTGAGGAGTTAAATAATAATTGTGCAACTTGTTCTGCTGTCTAAAACTATGTACATGTATATCACCTGAAAAAAAACACGCTCAATTGTTTATCGAAACAATAGCACCTACATCTCTTTGAACAGTAGTTTATGCCGATGTATTACAAGTTGATATAAGGCTTCATAAAGCAAATTTTGTAAATGTGAGCATAGAAATGAAAGATTTTATATCATTTTCAATATTTCTTTCATAAATGTCAAAAAAGAATTGAAAATGAGTTTCCAAGGGACTATTAAAGTTGCTCTTTATTTTCAACATAACTGAGTTCGTATTGATACGTGTAGTAGCTCATTGCGACTCATTCAACAGTCGGTAAAGTAAACAGATAGCTAATTTATATGCAAATTTATGCTGACATCAGAAAATCTAGTGGTCTCGACCTGTTTAAGAATATTGCACTGTTAACATTAAAGTGGTTGTCTCTACTGAAATAAGATTTTAAAACTTAACATTGTTGATATTGTTTATATAATGAATTATTGTTATCTATACATATAAGACAATTGGTTTAAATATTATTTCAGTGAAGAATCTGTAGAGGATAGCAAACAACTGAGTGAACAAAAAGAGTGAGTACTTAAAATAGGGTGTACCTTATTACCACCCCCTCCCCCAAACACACACACAGATGCACATACATCCACCACATGTAAAAAGCTATCAATAAATAAGTCCCACACTCCTTTAACAATAAACAGCAAATCTAGAGGTTGCCTTGCTCTTGACACTGGTACTCAGATTATTCAGAAATTGAATACATTACTATTTGCACTTGTGATTAAATATAAAATATTAACTTTGACTTTCAATTCTATCTGGACACTGTTTATGTAGTCCAGAGAGTCCATTCTTGATGTTTTTGTATTTTATATGTCCTGTTAATAGAGTTCAGAAAGTCCTTGAGGATTTTGTATTTTATAATGTAGTTCAGAAAGTTGTGTATTTTTCCAGGTTGAATGTTTTGATCGTTGGCTCTGGCAGTAACACCGTTAGTTTGTATGCCTATGGTGTCTGTCCTGTCAGTAGATTGTCAGTACCAGCTGTCAGTAATGTCCAGGTAGGAAATGTCTATTATCATGTTAAGTATGTATAGATCTGCATGCTGGTTCTTTATCCTTTAAGTATGTTTTTTTCCAGTGTTTTATATTTTTCATGGCTAGATGACAAAGCAAACCTGATATATGGATTGCCATTTTCTCTCCATATGAATCAGCAAATCTATTATAAAGCTGTTGCCCATTTGTGGGTGACATTTTCTAAATATCATCTGCAAACATCACACTAAGTTAATCATGAAGAGGAGTTTTGAACTTTAGTATTTGGTCCCCTTTCATCAGATGTTAATAAATCATGAAGTGTTTTCAATGTCACCTTCAAAGCTGACCTCATCCTTGACCTTTAACCTTGATTTAGAGTAATATCTTAAAAACAGTTGACCAAAAGTTTAAACATTGTAAAGGAGATGGGTGAACATGACGAGTGATAAGCCTATAGTGTGACAAACATGAAGATGAAAAATTAAATTTCTATTATATCGAAATTTTCCTTGATATTTCGTCTAACATTAAAATATACTTTATGTAAAATCTCTACAATTTGCAAAAATCCCTCAAAGATTGAAATTATTTGCCTGTGAAATATTAGACACACACTGAAGCGGGCAAAAAGAGTCATTTTCGCATACTATAACACTATTTTTCGATATGAGTGGGTCTTCACTCCACCTTTTTGAAAGTTAATCCTTAAAGTTTGCATAAAAATATACATTTTTTGGTTACCAAAAATATGGAGCAATGACCCACTGTACCTTAAAAATATACTTTTATGACATAACATTCGCATCTTTTCGAGAAATACTTGAAGTCCATTAAGTCAAGGGTCATATCACAAACATGATTTAAATGCCACTGTTCATCAGGACTTGTGTAGTCTGGTGGTTAGCGTGCTAGTCTCGAAAGAAAATGATTCTCAGAATTTTTATTGCTAGGGTTCGAACCCCAAGAATACCACATTAATTTTTTTTATAAAAGAATAAATTTTGCCAAGAAAATTTTCCTCAGAAAAGTTTTGTTTATCACAATTACATAAATTTCAATAATGAGAACTTTACTCTAAGTATTAAATTCACAAACTGAACATGATTTTTATATTTCTGAAGCTTTAGGCTTTCTGCACGCTATGTTCGCCCATCTCCTTTGTTTTTTCATTGTTATATATCTTCACACTGCAGATAAAGAGAATCCATGCTGCCACTATTAGCCAGGATCTCCAGAGTTTGTCAGTGGTACTAGAACTCCAGAACAAACAACAACACAGAAGTTTCTACCTAATGACTGTAAGATTTAAGGAATGAAGCTTATTTTAACCTATGTTATACGATATAACATAACTTGGGGTGGTTTACGCTTTATAAACCACAAAGCGGTTTATAAAAAAGCATAAACTGCCCCAAGTTATGTTATATCGCATAACATAGGATAAAATAAGCTTCATTCCTTATAATTTAATTTCAGTGTAGACAATAAGACAATTTTTCCTCCAAAAATGGCTTCAAATTGAGCATATTTAAAAGTAACGTCAAGCGGAGTTATACTTTTTTGACGTAACTCATTGTGACGTAGGCAACTTATGCTATACGATATAAACTAAATCTTTTATCCAATCAAATGACGTGTTACAACTAAAATTAAATTATTATACATTTAACAAGTTTGAATTCTGAAATTTATATAAAAATATTTTATGAATTAGTAGTTTTTGGCCAAATTCTCATGATAAGTTACACAAATTTAATTAAAATACCTGGTCATGATATTATGGCTTTCTGTAGATTAGCACGAGACATGTAACCAATCCCATTTTCTTCAAGTCTTGAATCTCATATGCAAGAAATACATGTATATATGTACATGTATAATATATACTGCAGACATACATTTTCCCACACGTGATTAATTTATGCTATGTACATGGTCACCGTAAATTTTCCACCAAAATGTTCACAACATACATGAAATACATTTATAACATACACAATGGCAATCAATGAAATCTGTGTTATTTTCAACCCATGGATTGAACAGAAATTGTGATTCTGCAGAATTGTGACCACATGGAGAAAAGTATGTTTACAATATATATCCAGACACCTGGTTTAATTTCATGAAAGCTTTTAGGTCTGGTTAATTTCTGAGTATAGACTATAGGGTCTACTTACATGTACTTCAACATTTCAGAATAATGTACTAGTATCTGGTTATGCTTTAACCTGTTGTACGTCAACTTTATTTTTTCCTTAATGTACCAGGTTAAAGTCCATGATGTGTATTCTCTCCCCAGTCAATGTAGACCCAAATCAAACTTGTGCAGGAGATAAATGTAGAAAGAAGTTATTTACATTGTGTATTCAGAAATTTTCAAGTTACTTACAATTATAAATCACTGAACATTAATTGCTTCAAAATTGACACTTTATGTATTTGTCACATAGTGCAAAAAAAAGTCAAATGAATGTAGAAAACACAAATGATTTTTTTTTTCAGTTTGACACAAAGTTAATTGCTTCAAGACATAAAGAAATGAGGATCATGGCTCTGAAGTTTGGACAAGTGTTGACACTAACTGAGGTCTGACATTATTCAGTCATTTTTACCAGAGTCATTAAATTTGTACAGCTTTTGATATGTAGATGTGGACATTGTTTAAATAAATGTATATCAGATTTACATAGAATCTACACACAGATTATATTTTACTCATCTTTTATGCAGAAGTTTGTACTGCCTTTCTCATATAAAAGTTGCCCAAATTGTTGTAAAGGAAGATTCCATACAGGAAGTCTTGAAAGTAAATACAGACAATTTAAGAATTATTTGATTGTTATTTTTTGTTCTTTCAGTACTTACAGTCCACAGTTCAGCAGATGTCTGAGGCATGGGAAGACATCTTAATGGAAATGGATTCCAAGCTTCTCAAGTTTGCTGAGGACAAAAAGGTCAGATATCTTTACACAGGACACTTAGAGATCTTATTAGATCTTAGATGGCAGCACATCTTATTTATTTATTTTTTTAGGCTGCAAGTCACATGGTTTCCAAATATTTTGTTAAAAAAAATGTAAATTCATAGTTTTAAGGGCTTGAATGTCTGTTTTTCATCAATTCCATTAAATCTGAAAGTGATTGAGATATGTGATATTTGACTAACATTTAATTACCCAAAGTCCATTTTAATGGTACAATGTACATGTATATTTAATGTGCATGGTAATCTCTCAAGTTTTATATGTACTCTATTTCCTTAACTTGAATGGGTTGTAAAATTTACAGTCAATATGGGATTATTATCATATTGTCTATTATGAGTATATTTTTAAAGATACATGTATGACCCATTACAAATATCAAGTGTACAGGATAAAGTTTGCATATTGAACATTCTGTACATTGCTTATTGGAGGAGGGAAATCTGTATCTCTTTACAGGCTGTGGGTACAGGAACTGTCAGTAATGATTTTCTGGAACTTCTCTTGTTTGGGACCCCAAGGTACTTAACAAATTATGCAAACTAAAGAACCAGAATATCAGAGCATGATTTGCAGACATTCCAGTTTTACGTATACGAAATAGAATATTGTGCTTTTATTTTCAGCCCAGAATTACAGACTTTTCTTTTGAATGACCTAACTGGTAAGGTAAGGTTTTGGACAGAAATGGCACACCACTTTTAAGGCAACAATTGCCTAGGGCAATTTGAAAGTAGGAAATTGAAATGTTTACAATATACTGTTTTTTAATGAAGTTAGGATATGTTAAAAAATATGTTATTATTTCAGTTGTCTTCAACACAGAAGCACACTTACCCGGTAAATGGAATTTTACAATTTATGATACATATATATGAGTGTGTAGGGATCTATACATCACTAATATGTTGAATTCAAAATTGTGTTATATTGATATATGTACAAAATGTTTATAAAAGTACATATTAATAGTGAAGATAACTCTTTGTTGACAGGGTTTGCAGAAATTGGGTCACTCCATTGAAACCTCCTACTCCAACATTCAGAAACTAGTGGTCAAACATCTACAGGTGTAAGTTCATCGTCAGTACCGATAAAATTTGCTAAATAAATAATACAGCCATTGGATGCTATTGACACTGTAACAGCGGATAGTTAATAAAGAAGAGCTTCAGGAACACAAAGGATTTCTGTTGGGGGACTGTAGTCAGACTTATAGGGAAATTTGAAAATCTGGGGGGAAAAAAAGACTTAAAAGAGTACACAAAATGTCATGCTAATCCAATGTTTGATGTCCAAAGTAAATTTGTAAACCTTTCTCAATTTTGAAGGTTTATTTTAATTCAGTCAACTAATAAATGTAGAATAACACTAGTGTTTTACAAATTAAAGCTCATTTTCAGTGATATGTTGATCAAGATAACCTTTAGAGCAATTGTTATATATAATCTATATACCAGTTTCTTAAAAAAAAATTGAATGCTGACCTCTTAGCCTCTTATTTCAGATCCCCAAAGGTTTTTCCTCTATATAAAAGTATGAAAAGAAAAATTGATCAATAAGAATTTTATTTTGCCAAAATGGTCACCTATAGCAGGTCTGAATTTCTAGCTTGCTTTAAATTATCAAAATTTTAAAGAAATGCAATAACAGATGAAAATTTTAACTTATGTTTAATGGGTATTTACAAATGAACAAGTTGATAAAAATTCTTTTGAGCTATTTACTGGTTTACAAATATAAACTCTTTTGTATGGGTTGAGAGAAGATACTCTCTTCATTCTCCCTTATTCTTTACTATCACCTTCCTTAGCCTCTTTTCTCCCCTTCTACCTCATTATTTTCTCCTCTCTCTCCCTCTTCTCTCTCATTCCACCCCTCTCTTCTCCCTTACCTTTCTCCCACCTCCAATTTAGACTGTCCCCCTTCCTTATGATTCTGTTTCCCTCTGGTTAGCGCACTTTAATGAGTACAACATTTTACCATGTTTTGTTTTCAGTGTAAGTCAGGCCATCCTTTACCACCTAGCTGAGTTGAAGGGGATGTCATTGTGGTATGAGAAGTTTGGGGTGTTAGGTCTAACTACACAGACAATACAGAATGCCATCATGTCAGTTGGTTCTTTTGTCCTCAAGTCCAGTGAACTTCAACAGTAAGTTCACTCAATATACAGTCAAACCTTGTTATCTCAAACTCATTGGAACCGAGAAAAAACTTTGAGATATCTGAGGATATCAAGGGTAAAATACTTAAAGAATGAGAATTGGGATTTCCAAATCACTATCCATGTTATTCGAGATAACAGATACCGAAGTTCAACTGTAGTATTTATTACATATCTTACAAGAGAGAAAAAAATCCATTGACACTAACTGATACTGTATTCCTCTTTTGAGGAATCTACTTTAATTTTTTTTTTTTATTTTCAGGGTTATTGATGACAGTATAAAGAATTTTAAAGCATTTTTCAGATGGCTGTATGTAGGTAAGATCAGGACTGATTACCTTTTTAGAGTTAATCGTTTTTCTCATGATGTAAATGGGGATTTAGAATTGTATGTTTTTACTGTGTAATTCAATAAGGGCTATTCCAAGAAAAAATGTATGGGAGGGTTGGACGGCACTTCATATATTTTTTTATCGGTAGTGGGGGCTGGAGCAATTATATTTGTATGGGTGGTTGTCCTCATCCGATATATTTTTAGATGGGTGGTTGTATTTACCCTCACAAATAATCAACTGTATAGTACTTATGTCCTTTTCATTTTGTATAAATCAGTAAATACCGATATATATATATTTTTTTTATATAAAACACTCGCCATAAACGGTGGTAAAAAAGTGTGTATACATTGAATGTGAAAGTAGTATCGAACAAACCGGAAACAAGGGCAGATAACTATAAAAGCATGTGACAGTATGACTGCACTGAAAGTGGAGGATTAGGATACGGATTCCTTGTGCTTTGGACTCCGTGCTTCAGTTTCTTTTCGCTAGTTTAATCAAACATGATTACATTAGTAAATTAAATGATATTTGAAACAATCAGAAAGATCGTTTTATTTTAAACCGAAAGTAGAAAAAAAAACGTATCTGATAATGAACATTTTAGAGCATGGCTATGAAGTTGCAAGTCAAATAGTTTACTTTACACCACATACAGAGTAAAAGGAAGATGAGATATGGGTTAAAACAAAGTATCATGTCCGTTACATACTAGTCCTTAACCTGTTAAGTGTCAACTGTAATGTGTTCATCCCTTAAACACCCCCCTCCTCCCCCCCCCCCCCCCCAAAAAAAAAGAAAAAAGAAATTGGAATCATTTTGTTAATTGTCATGAACAAGGTGAAAGAATAACTACCAATGATATGTTATAATTCACAATATATATTTTAATTAATTGTAGGAATGTCATATCTAGTATATTAGTTTTATCGCAACTTGAACTTTACAGATTACAATGTCATGCATCATCTAGAAACATATATACAAATTACTATCATTAAGGCTTTTAATGTTGAGTATTATAGACCTAAAGGAGCACATTTTATTAAGCTGTAGCTGGAACCTGCTTTGGATAGAGGCCAAAAGCCAACAACTCATACTAAGTCAGATAAATTACAGTATTTGACATAAAATTTTATTTTACATATATTTGACAATAAGACAATTTAAAAAAAATTAGATGGGTGGTTGTATCAAAAGCATTTTTAATTTTATGGGGGGTGGGGGAGAAGGTAATTAAAATTGTATGGGTGGTGGGGTAAAAATGAAAGTGCCTTCCAACCCCCCCATACATTTTTTCCTGGAATAGCCCTAAATCTGATTGGTTTGTTTGATATCCTGTGCAAAATTACATTTTGACCATATTGACTTTTATAGTTACTGAAAGTAACATGAGGGAAAATTCAAAGATGTGTTTGTAATGGTGAAAAGTCTTTAAAACTTACATATTCAAATTTAATGAATTTTTTTCTCTTTTTTTTTTGTTCCAAAGAAAATAATGTAACAAATGTAGCCCTTTGATTTGGCCAATCCATAGGTACATGTATGACTTCACAGGAAAGTGTATCAACTTCACACTTTGTGTTCAGTCAGTATGCATTTCTGTGATGTCAATATATCTAATGATCAACTTCATAAATGGTTCATTTTTGTATAATACACAGCAATACCGATACTTATTTCAAAGCACTTTACTAATACATGTATTAATGCACAGCTAAACAGGGATTAGTCCATTCACAGTAATTTCTAGAGAATTATTCACATCTAACGATCTAATTTTTATAGGGAAAAGTCAGAAGAGGTATAATAATATTATTTATATTTCCTACACTGAGAGGCCTGGGTAAATTGGGCGATATGGATTCAAATGAAGTTTCTAACTCAAAAGTCAAACAAGGTGTCCAAATATCTTATTCACTTTGAGTAGGAAAGTTTAAGTTGGAGGACCTCCTTAATAATGTCTAGGTTCAACTGAAACTAAAAACTAAGTATATGACAGGTGCCCCCCCCCCCCCAAAAAAAAATTAATTAACATAATTAACAATAATTCGAAATTTGTTCACTCCAATATTTTTATATTTATACAGTCATACAGAGAATGTCAAATGAAAAACCCTCAGCAGATCTTATTAAGGTAACTATTTAACCTTTCTTCATTGATTTATTTAAAGTACCTCTACAAGATGCCACCTATTTCTAACAAGTAAACAGTAATTAGAATTAATGCTGTTAATTTATATGTACTCTAAAATAAATATACATGTATGTAAAGTAAATTATTTTTTCTAAATAGATGACACAGCATGATATAAATTTTGTAGCAGAATTCCTGAGAGACAACTTTAACCAATTTACCTTGGTAAGAGTGAACGTAAGACTCAACTACAATTAATAACTGTTTTTGTAGACGTTTTGCTTTGCATGAAACCATTAAAAACTATCAATATCTGTGATTGTGAATTTCAAGTTACCTTTGCTGAAATTGACTTCATCTGATCCAAGTTAGAATCTCTCCATTGTACATGTAGATAAGCATTCATCAGTCTCTCTGTTGTACACTTCTTCAACTTTAATTGCTGACTTACCCGGTATTTTTAAAGTGAATTACCTTAACATGATTTTTTGTGTTGTGTGTGGACACTACCATCAGCAATCCTTCCACTATTGCACAGTTAACTGTCATATCTTTATCATTCTTGGTGTAAAAGTCTAGTTCTTATGATATAAAGTCCATGATTTTTACCAAAATAGAAAAGAATAGTAAGTTATACATGGAAGAGAGATACAGTACTTTAAAAATTAATCATGCAGTTTTTGTTTACTTCAGGATGATGAGGATTCCATATCAGAGTTGATGGTTGACCGAGACAAAAAGCCGAGGTTTAAACTGGAGAAAGTGGGGCAGGTATCGGTTGACTTTTATGCTGTGAAAGAATCTATAGTAGATTACATCAACTTAAGGTGTTCATTACTTTATATTCTAGTTGTGATTAATTAGGCAACCATAAACTGTTAAAAGTGACAAAATATACAAAAGTTCACACAATGTTTATTTGTCATTTGAAATATGTTTATTACATATAACAGTCATTTGGCAAAAATTTCTCCCTTCTCTTCATGCTGCTATGACAAGAGTGTGAATTATAACATGCATGTCTATAGTGTCAGAGGTTATCCAAAGGGTAGGCTGTTCAGTACTCCTCTACAATTTTGCAGTATCTAAAGAAGGAGGATCTCCACTACCCTGCCAACATCTCCAGCAACCCCTGGGTCCAGTTCCAGAGGGGCTGCTTCCTCCTGAAAGGTATACTACTGCGAGATTTGACCTCTCTGTATCTGTATATACAGTGTATATACATGTAGATAAGGAAAAAGGGAAAGATTTTTGATGAAAGTTCAGTACTACTGTAACAAGATTAATAATCAAAGAAAAGAATAAAATTATTCAAAGTTGGGTTCATATTATAATTAATGTAAGACCTCAGTCCTCCTTCAAAAAATAAAACAAAAAAAAAACAAACAAAAAAAAAACTGCCTGCTGCATTTAATTTGGAAATTTTTAGCCTGAGAAAAGTTTATATTGGGGTGGGGGGGGGGGCTAAAGTCTTGACTGCCAACTCCTTTTGTCATACATGTATCCAAGGTTGAGATTCTGAAGTTCAACAACTTAAAAATGTTTGTCCAAATTATACCAGTATATAACCCGAGTTAGGAGAGTTTATGCTTTATAAAGAGCAAAGCCTGTTTGTTCACTCATTCTGTAAAAATTGGGTTAAAGACAGAATTTAGATATGTGTGTGCCCCCCAACTTATATAATACATACCATGTTTGTATGAATTTGTGTTTGGGTGGTGCATCTGAAATAAATTTAATGTTTAGTGACTCCTCTAATGGACAGAATTTTAATCATTTTCTGACATATTTTGTTTTTTCTTAATAAAAATTTGTGGAGGGTATAGTCTAGCAAAGACCTGATAAAAGAAAAAAAAGCTTCACTTGTATAAACATGTATGTCACAACCAAGTTGCAATGAAAAGAGAACTCATAGGTACATGTATGCAACCTTAAGCATGATGTTAATACCATTGAGTCTTGTATTGATTTAGTTGTATCTGAAGCAGAGTTGCATCCCTTTGTACATCTTGCTGTTTTTTAGACAATGAAGTGCTGTACCCAGTACAGAACACCAAGTCCCTGGTCCAGTTACAGGAGAGTTTAGACAGCTCCATCAACGCTGCCCTCTGTCAACCTTCAGTGTGTAGAAACTTAGCTTCCTAGATACTGATTTGTATTTATCTTTTAAGGTTCATTGACCCTCTGAAAAGAGAGATAACTCTTACTGGAATAAATATTATTATAAATGTCAAGTTAAAAGGCCATTTCTATAAATTTTGACTCGTAAGGGTATGCTGAAATTGTGTGCAGTTTAGATTTTGTTTGGAAAATAATTATGTTAAAGTAAAATTGTAAATGAGAGAACAAAGGAATGATGGACCTTAAATTATCAAATTTAAAATATTAACGAAATTGTTCAGGCATCTTTTAAAATTTAGTTCACTTGACCCAAAGAACAGGACTACTGTTGTGGCTATTTCTAGAAATATTTAAAATATTTTCTGCACACTTCCTGTAGACAAAACCAATAAAGCTACAGTCTCATGGGAACTATAGATTTGATACAAACCCTCTGTCTGTATCTAAATTGAGAGTATTCTATTGTCCGTGTGCTTCTCTTTCAGTCAGTCATTGGTCAAGCCATGAGATGCCTTTCCTGTGTGAAGTTGTTTGACTGGTAAATATAAAAATCTTATATTAATAAAATTATTAAGGAAAAAAGGTAATTATCAAGAAAAAAATTATTAAGGACCTATCCCATTAATTCCCATTATGTATGATGACAATGTACAATGACATTTATTCTTGAATTGATTTTTCTTTGAAATAGTGACTCCAAAACTGCTGATTTTCCTGTTAAAGTTTTTCAGTAAGTATCAGAACATCACATCACAGAAAAGAAAAGTTTAATGATGCTTGATTTATTTCTTTTATAGGTGTTTCAAAACATGGTCCCCATAACTAAAGTTGTGGCAAAATTGAAGGGGGATTATATTTTATATAGGAAAAACTTGAAAAATTTCTGATGAATATGAAGTAGCTTGATTACAATTTTTTAAAATGACAAGAAAGTATCCTCATGTAGAGTTGACATAAAATATGTTGCCACAATAAAGGGGACCATTAAAAGGGCCCCAAAAATATTCTTTTAAAACTTTGTTTTGCAAAACATCAGGGCTATTGGTAGACAAACTGTAGTTCTCATATAGGCTCCCTATATTTAGATTTGTTTTATAGATTTAGTTCCTGGAGTCAGGGTAGAACCACAGTAGGGTTTCAAAGTTTTACCTAGGAATGTCTAGTCTTTCTGAAGAACAACAAGGCCATAAAGTCAAAGTACTAGAATTGAGAGTTTATGAGTATATGGCCTTTTATTGAATTTGTGGTCTCAATGAATTTTCATTGGTGAGAGATGGAGCAGTCTGACTCAGGTATGCATTGTGATTATGTGCCTTTTGTTTTTTCATTGGTTACCATCAAGGACACTCCATCTGTATTTTCATGTGTCCACTTGGGAAAAAATAATTCCCAGCATACCATACTTTTAACATCTGTAAAGACTTGAAACTATACATTCTACTCAAATACGAATGATAATGATTTACACTTGTAGTTGGAAATAGGTTATTCTAAAAAGTGTTATCTATGACAATATGTATCTTACTTGATTTATTTAGAATTTGATATTTTGTTCAGATTTACAAATAATGAGAAAAAGAGAATGTACAGTGTGTACACACGTGATGTCTTACTGTGTGAGGAATGTGTTCTACTCAGAAGGTCTTCATCTTCCAGCAAGTAAGTAGATGTTTGTAGCTTAAAGCTGAAAAATTAGATAGATTAATGCTTGAAGCATATAGCTTAAACCAATTAGATTGTTGTCTGAAGCATAAAGCTGTAATGTATGAAAGCAGATAGATTGATTTCTGACTCGTGATGTCTCTCATAAAGCGCTACACAGCACATGGATGTGGATTGATTTTGAAGCATAATGCTATAAAGTATAAAGCATATGTTATGCTGTAAAATAAGAAGATGGATGCCTAAAGCAAAATGCTGTAAAGTAAATTGATTGATGCCTACAAGATAATACTGTAAATATTATAAATGTACATGTAAATATACTTTAAAATAAGTATACTGATGTAAATGAAGTACTGAAAGCATGATACATAGGTTTATTTCAAATATACTGTGGAATACCAAAAGCATTTTAAATTTGGTATGTAGATTGAAGTCTGGGGCATAAAGACCAAAAAATTAATCTTTAGTTTCTCAGACACTGCTGCATTTGGTCGAACACTCAATTTTATTGACAAATTGAAAAGGGAAATAACTCAATTTTCTATTTTTTCAAGTAATTTATACATGTAACCCTTTTCTTTATAAAGGTTTTTTTTTTTTTTTTTTTTTTTTTTTTTTTTTTTTTTTTTTTTTAATCAGATCATTTTGAAAATGGCACTTTATGACTTTAAATAAAAATTTTTGGAATAACATTATTTAAAGTTAAGTAAATATTTTAATTGATTTAAGATTACAAAAAAGTAAGAATCAATTGATATCTTCATTTTATTGACTGACAAGAAAAAAGATATAACACTTAAAAAAAAGGCCTGTCTGTCTCATTGAATTTTAATTTTTTTTTTGGCCTGAGAAACTAAAGACTAATTTTTTTTGGTGTAGAGCTTTTAGTGTTGGTGAGCATTTTAATTGTGTCTTGTGATAGTTCTGCTAAATAGGTGGATTATCCCTCTTTTTTAAAGAAGGGGTAAATAGTCCTGCAGACTTAACAGTTTTTATTTACAAAAGGAAAATTTGTACACATTGTTTAGAATAAGAAAAACTTTTTTCATCTTGAAGTTTAAAATTTTCTTGTACATTAATAAGGTCATTGAAAGCATGACATCATATGTATACAGTCATGTATATATATGGAAATACTGCACATTAACTTGTGACACCTGTTTCAATATATTTATACAAAACTCATTGATTTTGACAGGGAAAGCTTTATGGAGGCAGTTTCTATCAGAATTGGTGCTTTAAGTCAAAGAGAACATAATACCAGCAGCTCATCAGAAGAAGAGGAAAGGTAAGTCTGATTTTATCTGGCTTTCTGGTTCAGATGACGTCCTGGATCCCTGATAATGGGGGATTATTCCCAAGGAAATTTCAGACATCCAGTGGAAATATTGATAAAAAGACAGACATCTTACAACAGTTTGCTAGGAACTACCTTATATTTATTATTTTCTTCCTAAGCATGGCAGGTGATTGTGTTGCTGTAACAGTGCATTGTATACGATCTGTGTCAGTCTTCTCATTCCTTGTAGCAAAGTTTATGATCATTATGCAATGAGAGAAGAGAGACAAAGTGGGATGAAATATCAGATTTATTCTTTTTAAAAATGAAAAGTTGCTGCTTCTGTTTACCTTGGTTAAGTATATATAAATTAGAGTTATTTCTCTTGTTTTGTATCTATCCTCTTTCTGGGGAAAACATATGCTCCTACAAGACACATTTTCTCCAGATTTCATTAGAAACTTGATAATGTCTTGAAAAATTGTGTAAACTACATGCATTTGTGGATGTAGAAGGAAAAAAATCACAGTAGCCATATCTTATACGAGGTCTGTCTCCAAATCTGATCATTTCTTCCTCATCCTAATTTACACTGGTTCCTATGATCAAAATATCTTAACAACTGTTTGAGGAATTCTGTACAGATATAGGCAGATAGATAAATATAGGTGAAAATCAAACATTCTTATATCTTCAGCTTCCTGGTTAATGTATTTGGTATGCTTTATATCTTGATACTGAATCATGTAAATGTATATATTTTTTTTGTATGGTACATGTATATCAATAACTGAAAAAACTCTTTATATGATTTCTGAGATTTAATTATAGAAACCTTTGGCTAAATAGTGAAACTAAACTGGTCTTAAGAATGGTTTTGTTTTGCTGTTGCAAATTTTTCAGACAAGTAATTGTTAGATGCTTAGAGTATTACCGTGTCTGTCAACTTGATTTCTGACCTTGAAGTTGCTAAAAAAAAGGGCTTATCCCTTTTGTCGGGGTTGTGGGTGACCTATAATTATCTTACAAGGCTTCATCTTTTAAATGCTGTCACATTATTTTCATACTATGGTTTCATCATTTTCATCTGAATACCAATTTTCATTGTTAATGTGGTTGATCCAGTCCACAACATTAGGTAATCAACTTAACTACAAATTAGATTTTACTAATGGTAGAGTAGGACAAAGTTGTTATCCATAAATCAGTGAAACTTTATTTTTTTTTGTCAAAACCAAAAATTTTTATTCCCATGATATTAATGCAACCACACTATTAGATTACTTTACAGTTCTCAGGCTGTGATCAAATTATAGCAGCTTAATTAACCTTTAGGTACTAGACTTCCATTTCTCCATAGGCTGCTTAGGCATTAAGATTTTGGATACATGTATCAAGCGGCTTTGTAAATCAGAGAGTGTGTTTCCTGACAAGGACAAGACGTGACTTTCTTAAATAGCAAAAGTAATTCCCTTTAGTTGGAATTATCTAGACTTGCTTAAACCCATGTTTTATTTAAAACCTTTGATAATGTCAGTTGAACAAAATATTAAAAATAATCAAAACAACAACATAGAGACTTGAGTAAGTATGAGATTTACCCTACAATCATACAGATAAATGATTCCTTTAATTTCCCTCCTGAAACACATGATTTGTGCCCTCCATTTAAAGATTCTTGCATTAGTAGATTACTGACATCCTGTTTTTTAAAATTAAACAGCATTCATCTTTCATGTTTCTTTATTCATAGTCAAATCACAACATAAAAGCTTAACAAAAATTTAATGTAGTTATAATCCACATATGCTCTTTGAGGAGCTTATTTCCAAAAAAAATGGTTAAATCCCTCTCACTCGCTAGACACAAGAACTCTCATTCAAAAACACCTTGACTGTTCAGGGACATAGAAAACAAAAATTAATGCTCTGTAACTTGTATTACCTAAAACACAAAGAGTGGGACAAATTCAGATTTTCTTGTTTTGAAAAAAAAAAGTTGTTTTTTTTCTTTCGGATGGTAAAATACTCTATTAAAATGTTCAGACACTACAAAAAATGTGCTAGTCTTTTCAAAGCATTACATCATTAAATATTTCTGCTCTGATGAACAGACATTATGAAGGTAAAGGAGTCAGAGGATTGACAAGACATTTGCATAAAAATATTGGAATGCAAGCTAAATGCAGTTTGCATAATCTAGGCAGGTGCTGTTAGTGGTAGGGACTAAGGTTTGCTAGCATTAAGTCACTTCTTTTCAATTTATCTCGTTCCCTATCAATCATTATTTTAATTACGCAATGGCACCCAGTACAGATTATAGTGTATCACAATGGAAACAGTTTATCTAAATCAAAATTAGGATTGTGTTACTGGCCAATAAAATTGTCACAGAATTCTTTCAGAGCAAGCAATGATAATGTAATCAAATATATTCTTTTCTTTATGAGCTTATATACATAGTGTCAATGATACGTTTAATTGCAACACAATGAATTCGGAGAAGATTCTTGTTTGTGCATGATATAAAAACTGAGAGAAAAATATCTAACAATCTATATGTAAAGTGAGAGAGGATTATACAAGCATTAATACTTTATTTCACAGATTATTATTTTTTTTTTCATTTTGACAGATCCTAATTTTTTTTTGTCCTTCTTAAGAAGTTGTTTGTTAACAGTTTTTCTTTTCTTTTTTTGACAAGACAAAAATATGACAAAAGTATAATTTCAGAACTGATGGAAAGGGATACATTAAAACTACTGTAAACATACTTTTTTTCACAGGGTCTTAATTCTGTGGAATCACAATTTCTGTTGAATCAATGGGTAGAAATTACACGGAATTTTTTTTTTTTACATGTAGATTGCCACTACTCTACGTACACTGGGGCAAACTTACAAAAAAATTGTAACCGTGTATACAGCATAAATTAATATCGTGCAGAAAAAAGTACTTCTACAGTTGCAGAAAAAAGTACTTCTACAGTACTTTAATCTAGAAGCAACTCAGAAATTTCCAACATCACATATCATACAAATGCCACATTAATCCTTATCCTTAATGTATGGTGAATTACAGAGGTTATGGAACACTATGTGCTTGTAATCACGTAAAAATTTACAAAAATATACATCATCTCTTGTGTATTTATTGACTTATGATGATTTAAATGCATTTAACAAGTGCATGAAGACATAAATAAAAAGAAGACCATAATAAGAAAGGGCAATGTGAGTAAAAATTGTGAATTCTCCACAGTTACAAACATTTCATTCAGAAACATTCACATTTTCACAGACAATACTTGACTAGCCAGTTAATGCTACGTACTGAATTAAAACAAAGGAATTAATTTCCACAAGTCATCATAACATAGAACATTATGTCCATAATAATGGAAATCTAATATAAGAAAAGAAAATGCAATTCAAATGTACATCATGTACACTAAGGAGTTTCTATGGTGATTTTGATAAAATGACATGCCTTAGGATTGAGGAAAGGAACTGAAGTTCATGGTCAATGATTTCACTCAGATATTTTATTCAGTTCTCCAGTGATGATGTTGACATTTAAGTCAAAGATAGCTGCATTAGATTACCCTTGAGTCTGTTTTTAAATTAGACTTTATTAAGGTGAATTTGGCTTTTAGACACAGTCCTTGGTTTAATGTTGATGACTAGAGTATAGCACCATTACAGTTGTGTTGGATGGACATTTTGTTACTTTAGTTTTCCCTTTTCTTTCAGAACAAGTCCTCTGTGTTTTGCGTGGCGTAAATGTCCATTACTGAGAAAATACTTTTTCAGAAACTTTCTTCTGTATGAAGGATTATGTAACAACTGATCAGTTGTCTGTTGCTGTGTGTATTTATTGTTCAAATGAAGAACAGAACTGGGAGTTCCTAACTGTGGAGCAGTTTCTGACATTGATTTTGATTGGCTGCCTACTTTTGCTACCAATTGGCTGGATATCTGAGAGGCTTTTGAATAGATGGTTTTCATTGGATGATGAGACTGGTTGTTTCTGTGGTGCTTGTAGTGTTGAGCTGTTACTGTTGGTGGCTCCAATGCACCACTGCAGTTAGAATCTGAAAGCAGAGAATATTTATAAAGAAAAATATAAAAATGTAATAAAATGTTCTTTGCACATATTTCTGTATCACAACTTATTTAACAATCATGATTCACCATGCTAAGTCCAGTTAAATATTTTATATTAAGTCTCGTCAGCTGTTGGTTTTTAAAGTGTAAAATAATTCTCTGTGATAAATCAATTTTGATTTTAAGAACATTATAGTTTTATTTAGAGCACGCTGCATAAAGTTACAATGGTTTGTTTACCCAGTCTTTCAAACTTTACTGTAATTCAATAATTGGAGGAGAAGCAGATGGTGGTTGTCATACTTTTTGACATGACCTCTTTGTTGATTGAAAATAAATCTGATGGTTTTTTGGCAGACTTAGTGTCTTTTATGGTTCAAACACAGATTTACAGGAGGCTATTTAAACTTCACTCTGTGATTATAACTTCATTCATCTCCATTACACACTTCAAGAACTTCCAAAAAGTGAGAGTTTATGAACATGCACTAGAATTCATTTGCATTTATTGTCTGTATTTTACAACTTCCCTTTAGTTCAGTAAAAGTGGCGACAGAAGTTTTCTTTCTGAAATTAGTCTATATTTAATGATATTTTTCAATTGTTACTTTTTAAAAGTAAAACCTACCTGGTGATTCCCAGAATTCCACAGTAATTAATGAATGCATTGCAATCCAGTCTTTTGATTGGAAGAATTTATTACAGTCCCACAAAGCAACATGTCCAACGGGCAGATTAGAGTGTTGTGTGTAGGTTATCACTCTGAGAATGCCCTGCTTCCCCCAGAAGTTTTTCTTGGTGTGGACGGGGTCCATTTCATGCAGTTTGGAGACACTAGGATATCCATACTTATCGGCAAGGAAAGGGCCATACGCTATAGGATGATAGATATACTGGAGTCTATCTCTACCAACAACACTGTCTTCTCCAAACTTGGACAGTCTAATAAGGCTTTTCCCAAGGGAGTGAACCCCACCAATTTTATTTAGGGCATAGGACAGTCGCAGTGCACTTGTATCGTGCAGGAGTTTATCTGAACGGCAACCAATCTCCTGGATAAGGTGGTGATTCCTGAATTTGCCGCCATGATGTTTGTAACCCGGGTAACTGGCGCGAAGTTGTTGAAAATTTGGCAGAACTACCTGGTAAAAGAAACATGGTAAACATTAGAATTGTGATAGTAAAGCTTACAAAAAAGAGACACATCCATTTAATTATTGTTATAGGCTATGCTAAACATTAATGTTTGGTTATCCTTGTTCGTGTTGTGTACATGTGTATACAGTTGAACCTATGCATCTCGAACATCAATATCTCGAATACCATGGATACGTCAGAGCGAGTTGGAAGTCTAAACCACTCTTTCTTTATGTATCATTTCTCAAATTCTTGAATATCCCTAAAATTTATTTCATAAATAAATTATTATTTAACATTATGATAACTTTATTATTTTTCTTACATTGTAAATTCATCATCGGTTCTAAGGTTTAAGGTTGCACCAAGGATATTTTCCCACAAGTACGGACCCTCCTATCAGTGTAATCACGCGACTAGTGCCAATTTATTCGAGGCTTCTCAAAACATCACGTACACTTGACTTGATGAGAAATATTAAAGACAGGATCTTTTAAAACAGCTCAGTTATTAAAGACTGCCAAAATTTTATTGAATATCTATCTTATCTGAACTTACATCAATATTATTGGTATTAATGTGTCCCATGGGGCGTTTCGTCTTGGGGTTGAATTACAGTGCCACGCGTGCCCAAGTAACAATAGATTTATGTAGATAGTAGTAATTCCCATCCAGAATCGTCGTAAAGGAAGGTAATTAACAATGATTAATAAATATTTAATTAACAACGGATATTGTCTTGTTATCTTTACATATATTTATACAGTTAAAGAAATGTTTTTTCTGTTACCTTGCCAAATGCGTTTTGATCGTTCAAATGTAAAATTTATATTTTTCTTAATACAAAGATCAAATGATTATTATATAAAAGACATCTATTCAAGCAAGTGAAATATGTTCTACCCCAAAAGATTTGTAAAGCGAAAAATTTGATTCCGTCTGATGCTTTATCCAACAATTCAACTCGACAACAGGATTTACATTGGAGGGCCTCCGTCTTGGTACAAACAACAAAGACGTGTGCGTTTTTGATTATCACCTTTAATGTGTTTGAAGTGTATTGTAATGATCGATATCTTCCCTTTTGATAGATTTACAACAAAATTTTTCTGTTTCACTTTTAATCTTTGTAAAGTATTTAGGGTAAAGCAAAAAAATGTAAGTTATTTTCCACACAGGCGCAAGTTCCAGTTTTCTACTTATAGACTGGGTCATTATTATTTTTGAAATGTTCAAACGGGTGATCACATGAAGATTTTTTCTTCGGGATACTCGATTAGAAATGAGCTTTAACGGTTAATCTATGCAAATGAGTATGGTTTAATTCGGATCTAATGGAACGGAACTTCAAACACCCTGTATATCTTTAGTAAAATTGTAAGATTTTACGAGGGGGTTTCGGCAGATTAATTTGATTTATTCCTAACAAATGCTAATTTTATCTCGATTATCTCTCACTCCGAATCACTACTATTTTAACGAGCGATGTATATCGTTCTACTCGGACCTAAACTTCAGTAAAATGACCATTTAAAAGCCGTGATATTATTATTGCAATCGGATACAGCGCTCCGAGATATGATCTGCTGTTGCAAAAATGGAAAACTCCAAGATAAACAAGGAACAATGGGATGGGGACTATTGGTTAAACCAACAAATGACTTGTGTCTACACGGCCATCTGCCGCGGAGTTGTGCGTGGACTTTTACAGGCTTCCACTATCCGTCCGCCGATTATCCCCTAAATAAATATTAAGGTCTATTCACATTTCTTATCACCAGTCAAGCTTGTTCATTAGAAAGTAATTAGTTTGGAAAGATTTGTACTTCCGATACGAAGTTAAATATTACCGCGATCTGTTGTCGTCTGTAAACAGTCGCGAGCGTTCTCCTGTTGATACCTGCCGTACACCGGGTACCTTTTATAGTTAGAAAAAATGCAGTTCACAGCAGCAGAGGAACTCAGAAATATTTCTGAGCAGATTATATTTTTTATGTTGTTGTCAAATTAATTTATTGCAGTTGCAAAGTGTCAGTATTGGTTAGCGATTAGAAATATTTAAACGTAATGTTTTATGTCTACGATGACGAGGAATATCTAACTCGAATTCCATTTTAACCAAGAAAATAAAGTCTATTAAATTCTCTTGTCGGCGCTATCAAACCAAAATCGTGTATAAACAACTTTCTAGAGAGTTTATGTGAAGTTTTCAGAGAGGGTAGTTTTTTGGATTCGTCTTTGAAGTCAACTATTTGGTTGATAAACTGATTCTGTGTCAAATTGTTTGATTTTTTTAAGGGATAAAATGAATGTGGACCTTATAAACAAGATCACCCGAGTCGAAAAAATCTTCAAATGTCGACAAAAAGAAACACAGTATACACATGGTATGATTAAAACAGAAAAAATCAAGGACGATTATTAACTGATTGAAAAACAGGACATTACATAATGGTTACGTACACGTCTGCAAGTTGTGGTAATATAGAAAATTTGCTAAAATTGTGACATTGTTAAAGGATAGGGGTTTAAACAAAGGCCGTAATGGTACATGTACTTGATATAAAGTGGTCCCGCTCTGTTTACAGAGGCTGTTCACTTTGTTGACAAAATGTGTTGAATCAAGATTTCCTATCTGAACAAGAGACAAAAACAATATCTACATCAAATGAAGCCACGCTGCACAGAATCCACGAACCCTCAAAGATAATTAAAAGATAACACCTTGATAAATTTCATAAAAATAGCCCAGAAGTGTGGCGGATTTATGAGATGATAATATCGACATGAGATCTCCGTGGACAGCTTGGGGAGGAAATGCGCACCAAATCCTATGTTGACAAAGTATGACAAAGTAAAGAATATTGGAAGCAGAACCAAGGTGTCTTTGCATGCACGGAGGCATGTGCTGTTGTTCAAACGCTATCTCAACGGGCCCAGATTACGACAAGCATTCGAGGAACGCCACCACAGGGAACGAGTCCAGGGGTTGTCATCTTTTTAAAATTTCATTTGTCCGTTGGTAAATCCCTAAAGAGTCATTTGAAATCCTTTTTCACGAGGATCAGTAGAGATTACACCTAGCTGCACCCGCATTTAAAATTCTTGTTTGTCTAAAAACATTCCTTTCTTTGCCAGATTACGGTGTTGTCTTGTTCCCCCTTTTCACTTTCCCTAATATTGATAACCGTATTTACATTTTTATGGGGTGTTTCATTAAGTTAAACATTTTTCTGTAATAGAGACAATGTAATTGGAGGACATTCCTTTACTTCCCCTTTTAAATACTTCGTTCAAAAAGGCCTCTTTTTACCTCGCTCTTACTTGGCTGGTACCTGGCTTTTCAATATGAGCTAATTAGTCGAAGAGTCAACCTTTCTATGTTGACATAGCTCTCGATTCGGAGATCATTGTGGTGTCGATGTCTTTGCCTATTCTGTTTACAGTCGCTGAAGATCCCTATAACTTGACCGTTAACTTCGGGTCCTAAAACTTTATCAGGTCATCGTATTTAATATCATTGTTCTCTCTATAGTTTTGACGGCAGGTGGTTAAAATCGTACCCAATCAGTGCTCGTCTTTTAAAACAAAACCCACATTTTATTTCAACAGAACTTGGTGAAAAATGGAGAAATTGGCAAAGTAAAACTATAAGAACCTTCTATTGTCATTCGACACACATAAGCACTGTACGTGTCTTAAATCAAAACCACAAAATTCCAGTAACATCCTTAATAAAGTTAGTTTATTATTGTTATAATCTACTTAGTAAGTGCTAATTGAAAAAGTAGAAGTCAATATTTAATATTTTTAGCCCCTTGAACTCAGATATAACTATATATATTATTCAAACCCCGAAAGCAAATATGCGTTGTATTTATAACTCTTCTCAAAAACCACAAGACCGCATTTAATTGCGTTACCCTAGTCTTTTTTTGACCTTGCACTATAAAGATTAAATGTTATTATGGCTAGCATAACGATTATAATGAAAGGGGTTTTAAAAATCCTTTCCCATTCTGATTCATTAAGCTCCATTTTATAATGAATTTTCTCTTGTAAATTGGATTATTAAAATGCATTTTAAGTATTTACCCTTGCAAATTTGAGCGATTGAAGGAGGTAGATTTCTAAATACTGTGCGATATTATTTAGAGTTTAATTCGAGGAGGCAGACTTTTTCTTAATTTTAATTGATTTGCGAGTTTGCGTATAGAGTTTTGCTCTCAAATTGTATTGTTGATGTATTAAAAGTGAAAGTTTTGTAGATTTCTTTTTATATTTAAGCATTTTCAGGCCAAACAAACAAGTATCTTAAAATTCTCTCAACTGTTTTCTTGGTCTCCAACATAGAAAAGGTCGGTATATTGTGACCGAAGCATGCAAGTTATGCAATTGTATACGAGAAACAAGTTGCAATTTACACGACATATAAAACATTTAACCTGCTAAATCGGGGGTTATGGGAAAAATGTGTACAAGGACTTCGTGAGAGCATTGTACGACTGAGCCACATGGTCTTTTATACGCGGTACTTATCTTGCAATTTGGAGAAGTCCAACGCATTACCTCGCTGTACAGTGTAAATCTACACTGTATTGTTACCCAGAATTAATTTGTAAGAGTACACTTCGATGATTTTGTCAAGTGATTTAAACTTAAACAGCCTCTGGTATCTTCTTTTAATAATGTAGATATGATCTTTTGGCGAAATATTGCACTTTGAATTTTAATTCAGTTGTGCACTAAACCAAAAAGTTAATACATCTCACCTTTCAAAATGTATGGTATGTCTGAAGCCAAGCATGACATTGCATTACCAGGGCTTGTGCAAAAAAATGTATTAATGTCCTACTTGGGAAGTTTTGAGAAAAAAAGACAAAATTGTCAAAACCTCCAATGAAACTTCATTTGGATTTTCTCTGTAATGGTCATTCCAACTCTAATATACTATTTGTATAAAGCAAGGACAATTGGAAAATAAGATAACTCAGGAAAACCAAAATTCGTCACATCAACTTTAACGCGATGCCCCCTTTTAAGAAAACAATTGCATTAAACGTTTTTCGTGTTATCAGGGAATCTTCCCACCCAGGAGGGAGGGATTAGTTTACAAATTTTTGTCATGAAACTGGTCTTACGTAATCGACGTTTCACAATTAGCTGTAAAAAAATCGTGTCGGGAAAATATTCAACTGTATTTCTCGGTGCACATGAGTAATAATTCCATGCCTGATCTGGAGCAATTAAAAATCAGATCGTTAGGAAGGGAAGGCTGGACATTCTGTCATTTTTTAGCATAAAAAATATTCAAATCAAACATTTTTGTCCTATAAAAACAGGAAAAATTTGTGGTTTAGCAGCTGAATTTTTTTTTGTCAGAGTTTGAAAGAAACTGCGCGTGAGCATCGATGCATATTTGCTGACAGCAGTTTTATATTTTAATGATTCAGTGAAGTTTAATATTTTGTCATGTGGTTTAAAAACACTTACCGTATTAGCAATAACGCACCACCACAGGTTAAATAAGAACACCAATATTTGTTGTTTTGGTCCCATGTCTCTCAAGGCATTTTTTTAACTGTCCAGTTAAAAACAATAAAGTATGTTAAAATAAAGATCGCAATTCTCCACGTGTTACATCATTGAGGGTTTCCTGTGTAAATGTGTCAATTGGTCCCTGATAACCAAGATAGGCAGAAAAGTCCACTGCTAACACTCACATTCAGCTTGTCCTATTTAAATATTAAAATCCATGTAGAGAGTTTAGATAGGAAGAGGACAGTCCCACTACAACACTGATAAATGTATGCCGCGCTGATTACCTGGCAAAACGCTTTTTTTCCAGCAGACCTTCAAACTCTAAATACTCCTTTTCCTGTATACGAAAACAAGGTCTAACTTTAAATGTAAGCGCTGTTCATTTAAATTAGCAAGGTATGAATGAGATCCTACAGTCGATGTGTTTTTGAGTCGATAGAGTTTTTGAGGTTTTGAAAAGGCACACTGTCGTGTATCTGGGGGCGTGGTCTTTTTATGCAAAATCCTCAAAACGGAATCGTTAATTTCTTTGATAACTCCAGTGATTTTGGTATGTTGTTGAATTGAAAAAAAAATATACTGTTACGCATGATTGAAAGAAGCATACGATGTAAGGTGTCATGAATTAATTTTATGGATTACAATAACCATATTTTTTTTTAAAATTACATTTTACAACTGCAGCCGATGAAGCTTTGGCGTCATTAGTTCCTACGATAAATTGAAATATTTTTTTTTTCACAATTTGTCATTAATTGCGGGACTCGGGGGAATCAACCTCGAGGGCTGATGACAAACTATTAAATCTTATCATTATATAGATGGAGGGTTTTGATGGATGACTGTTATACTGTCAGTTGTTTGTAGCGCTGGAGAGTTAATGACAAACGGACAGAATGTATTAAATAAAATTACCTGTTATCATTACAATAAAACACATCTGTCAGATGATCTGTAGCATTACGGCATCGTAATTTAATTGTTAACCTTTATTGAATATTTATTGTGTATAAGACGTAGTTTATTACACATGATATTAGTTAATGAAATACAGAAATAACATATTTTAAACATTTTTCGCACACTAGTGTTAACAAACTACAAATGAGTACCGGATAATGTCAATACAAACTGAAAAAAATCTACCACATGGAAGCTACATCGTAAAATTTATGTTGTAATCTGGTGGGATATAAGGTTATTAGGATATTAATCATTCAACAGAAGGCTACAACTGTAATTAATGTTTTATTGTCCACCAAACGGTGGACATCAGCTGGCGGTATCCTTTTGGTGAACTGATTTTATCCACTGCCAGGCGAGATTTTAAGAACAACGAAAATTAAAGCTTTTTTGGTCATTTGATATTACCATTTGCTTTCATTACTATTATTTAACGATGCAATAAGGGACAGAAAAAACTGGATATTGAATATTTATTTTTGTCAAGTGAGTTTACGTTCTGTAGCTTTAAAAGTTTCTGGCATAATTTTTTAGAAGATTAAAGATCAAATTAGCAATAAAGTTAAATTTTATACATAAGCAATTTATTATACAATTATTGCTGGTTTTTGAGGTCAATACGATGATTTAGACACCTGAGGAGTACAATATTCACCGAGCCCGAAGGGCGAGGTAAATATTGTACTTCGAAGGTGGCTAAATCATCGTATTGACCGAAAAAACAGCAATAATTGTTTTATTATATGATTCAATGATTAAATGACACACAATCTTTAAAGGCAATCCATGCCATCTTACTTGTTCACATCTACTGAAGTACTAGCCGAACATAATGAGAGAAACGGGGTAAAAAAAAACCAGTTGTATTTTTTTGGAATTTTTAATTTTAGTTTAGGTGCAATGTGGAAAAAATAAATGTCAGGCACTTATATAGGATTGATTTTGAAAAAGGGGGCATTAAAAGGAAAAAAAAAAGACAACTTACCTGAAAACAAATCTTTGACTAAACCCCCCCGCCCCCCCCCCCCAAAAAAAAGGAAAAGAATTCTCCAAACTCAAAATTTACTTTGGTCCATAAACGAGGGGATGGGGGGGGGGCTTTCATTGAAATTTTTTATCCTTAAAATTTAAATTAAAACTTTACATTCTCAAAAGGTGGGGAGAGGGGCAGGCCTCCTGCAGCCCCCACCCCCACCCCTCACCCAAGAATCTATGTGCCTTAATGTTATGTTCATATGAGTGGAAGTCTGGTGCAAGTGAAATAACTTTCCAAAACTATGTGCATCAATTTGGAATTTCCCTATCTATTTTTGGTCCAATGTAGAATAAATAATTCCTTATATTGAACTGGACGGTCACGTGCACAGGCACTTGGGGTATGGACCCCCCCCCCCTTTCCATTTTTTTTTCTTTTTAAATCTGGGGTCCAGTCACCTTTTTCCTATTTTTGTATTCTAATATGCACTATATATTATCAATAAGGCAACTCTTTTGTTTCTATCAGCTGTTTTTTAAATATATCGTTTTCGACTGATACATAAAAAGAGAGAAGGCTTGCAACTCTTTTCTCATCGTCTGCCTCACCTCGCTTAAACTTCGCCTGATTATTTATCTAAAGCATAAGAACACATGAAATATGCATATGTCAATAAATTTGTTACACATTCTTCTTCCTTTTCGTATTTCCAATTAATTTTTATGTGCCCCCAATTTGTAAATATTTCGATTAAATCACCCACATTTAGGGTAAATTTTGTTGATGTGCACCAGCTGGGACGGAAGTGCAATAACGGTAACTCTAACTTTACAAATGTTCTGCATTAAAAAAAATCCAGGCTTTGTAATAAATATATTGTGAAATTTGGTTGTCTCTGTCGTATGTAAAATGTTAATCTTCATCCATCAGAACCTGATAGTTACAGTTATCTTGTTATACACAGAACTTACCGTTACATGTAAAATGAAGAGAAAATTCGGGATTTTTCCCTCTCGCATTTAATGTTCCGAATGACATTACACTTAATGATGACGCCAGAAAATACCGGGCACTTGCCTTATTGATAATATATAGTGCATATTAGAATACAAAAATAGGAAAAAGGTGACTGGACCCCAGATTTAAAAAGAAAAAAAAAATGGAAAGGGGGGGGGGTCCATACCCCAAGTGCCTGTGGTCACGTGCAGGTCAATATAACGTAGTATTTTTCTAACATTGTTGGATCTCAGCCAAACAGAGAGATGGGAATTTTTCAATCATATAATAAACCTCTTTATAGATTACCATGTATTTAAATGTACCAGACGTGAAAGTAGAATTCATACTGTTCATATTGGTCCAGCCCATGTGACCTCCAACAAACTTTTTTGTGGGGGGGATGCAGCTTTACCAGTGTCCTGAGCTGACCACTAGCATTGCGGTCACTGTAAACTGATTCTTTGCATTTGTTCGATTTAGATTCTAGCCTTTTGCCCTCTGACCAAAGGTAACCAGCCAGTTTTTTTCGTCCTAAGCTGACCAGCCCTTAATATCATGTAAATTTCAGAATTAGTTTCTCTTTGTCCCAGAATGACCAGTATCCACTGATTGGCTGTGTCCTGGAGTGACCAGGATAGATCTACAATGTCCGGTCATGACTTTTTTTACACTCTATATTATCGATAATCACACTGACCGTATTAAAGACACCTGTTTCTGTTAACAATGAAAGTTAATTAATTCGTTAACAATGTCCTCATCTGACCAGTAACAAAGCTTTATGTAGAGGATAGGAGCTGTTCTGCAGCTGCTTCACAAACAGTTTTATAAAAAAAAAATTTAAAGATGCATTAGAAAAATCTCTGATACTTGAAATCCTCAAGAGTTACAGGATAGGATAGAATAGAATTTTCTGCCAAATCAGAACCCAAATAGGCAAAACATAAAACACATTACAAGCAGTGCACAATGTAGTTTTTAGCTCACCTGAGCTGAAAGCTCAAGTGAGCTTTTCTGATCACATTTTGTCTGTAGTCCGTCTGTCCGTCTGTCCGTCTGTCTGTAAACTTTTCACATTTTCGACTTCTTCTCCAGAACCACTGGGCCAATTTCAACCAAACTTGCCACAAAGCATCCTTGGTTGAAGGGGATTCAAGTTTGTTCAAATGAAGGGCCACGCCCTCTTTCAAGGGGAGATAATTAAGAATTAGTGAAAAATGAATAGCATCTTTAAAAAATCTTCTTCTCCAGAACCACAGGGCCAGGAAAGATGAAACTCAAATGGAAGCATCCCCAGGTAGTGTAGATTCAAGTTTGTTCAAATCATGACCCCCGGGGGTAGGGCGGGGCCACAATGGAGGATCAAAGTTTTACATAGAAATATATAGGAAAAATCTTTAAAAATCTTCTTCTCAAGAACAGTAAAGCCATGAAGAGTCATATTTATATGGATGCATTCTCAGGATGTGTAGATTCAAGTTTGTTCAAATCATGACCCCCGGGGGTAGGGCGGGGCCACAATGGAGGATCAAAGTTTTACATAGAAATATATAGGAAAAATCTTTAAAAATCTTCTTCTCAAGAACAGTAAAGCCATGAAGAGCCATATTTATATGGAAGCATCCTCAGGAAGTGTAGATTCAAGTTTGTTCAAATCATGACCCCCGGGGGTAGGGCGGGGCCACAATGGAGGATCAAAGTTTTACATAGAAATATATAGGAAAAATCTTTAAAAATCTTCTTCTCAAGAACAGTAAAGCCATGAAGAGTCATATTTATATGGAAGCATCCCCAGGTAGTGTAGATTCAAGTTTGTTCAAATGATGACCCCCGGGGGTAGGGCGGGGCCACAATGGAGGATCCAAATTTTACTTAGAAATATATAGGAAAAATCTTTAAAAATCTTCTTTTCAAGAACAGTAAAGCCATGAAGAGTCATATTTATATGGAAGCATCCTCAGGATGTGTAGATTCAATTTTGTTCAAATCATGGCTCCTGGGGGTAGGGCGGGACCACAATGAAGGATCAAAGTTTTACATAGAAATATATAGGAAAAATCTTCTTCTCAAGAACAGTAAAGCCATGAAGAGTCATATTTATATGGAAGCATCCTCAGGTAGTGTAGATTCAAGTTTGTTCAAATGATGACCCCCGGGGGTAGGGCGGGGCCACAATGGAGGATCCAAATTTTACTTAGAAATATATAGGAAAAATCTTTAAAAATCTTCTTTTCAAGAACAGTAAAGCCATGAAGAGTCATATTTATATGGAAGCATCCTCAGGATGTGTAGATTCAATTTTGTTCAAATCATGGCCCCTGGGGGTAGGGCGGGACCACAATGAAGGATCAAAGTTTTACATAGAAATATATAGGAAAAATCTTCTTCTCAAGAACAGCAAAGCCATGATGAGTCAAATTTATATGGAAGCATCCTCAGGTAGTGTAGATTCAATTTTGTTCAAATGATGACCCCCGGGGGTAGGGTGGGGCCCAATGGGGGATCGAAAGTTTTACATAAGAACATATAGAAAAAAAAATTTCTTTTCAGGAACAGAAAAGCTATGTTAGTCTTATTGATATGGAAGCATCCTCGGGTAATGTAGATTCAAATTTGTTCAAATGATGACCCCTGAGATGGGGAGGAGCTTCAATGGGGGATCAAATTTTTACAAAGGAAGAAATGGGAAAATTCTTTTAAAATCTTCTCAAGTACAACAAATTCATTTGTTATATTGACATGAAAGCATCATCAGGTAGTTTAAAATTCAACCCCCCCCCCTCCCCGTTCATTACTGAACTGATTTGTGCCTTAGTCTAGCCAGTGTGCTCAGGTGAGCGATGTGGCCCATGGGCCTCTTGTTATTTTTTGAGTCTATAATAGGTTATACATTGGTGATATTTATTTTAAGGGGAAGTGTTGAAACCCAAGGCACTTTTTTTTCTGAAATAAAAGTTTACCCCAATAATATATTTTTATTACAGAAACAAGTGTCTGTAATTGGAACTCTTGAATAGCAATCTATAAATCAAAGTAAATAAAAAACGGTGATTTTTCAACAAAAAAATTAATTCAGAAAGGTAAGTTTGTTTTAAAAAGAGTGCACGTGTTATTTCACCGAAGAAGAGCACGTACATGTCAGTATTAAAGTTGTTTGACAGGCGTCAAAGTCATAAAGTTTGTCTAGGAAAACAATTAGATAATGATTCGATTTTGTTGAGTGAAAATTTCCTAAATTAAAAATGACCAATGAAATAAATGCATGAGAAGCGTGAAGATAACGAACAGTGATCTATCTCATAAAACATAACCTGTGAACAGGGCATAAAACATGGACCCCTGGAAATTTCATAGGTGGGATCAGGAGTAATCATGCCCTGTCGACAGGTCACTCCCGCCTGAGCCCTATATATGTATCAATCAGGTGGAAGAAATAATCTGTAGTTAAATGTACATGTAGTATAAAAACAGTGGCTTAACAACGACCAAATGATAGGTTGTATTTGCAAAGAAGGTCATTATAACTACCATAGAACTTACGAAATTGAGTATCGAATGAGTTGGGAGACATATGGCACCATATTCAGGTTATAGGGGGATATTAATAAATAAATAAGGAAAGTTGACGACGGAAAAGCTGAAGTTATCTCGTTTGTCATATAGTTTAGTTCTTAGTTGGCCCTTATCGTCTATAGTCAGTAAAACATCAAATTTAAAACAGTTATAGATTTTACCAATTGGTGACAAAAGCCGCTTCTGCTCTGCTTAGCCTTTAAAAACCTCTAGCATATTTGTTCTGTGCACATGTATGTCAAAATTTTGGAATTCATGATGAAATAATCACTATCATAGTCCGGTGACATTTTCTTTAAAATTAACAATTCTCTTTCATATGCTGTTTTATTGAAGACATTTACTGAAATTCATCAGTGAATTATACATGTAATACATGTAGTTGTTTTCCCAAACATATGAATTTTTATCATGTGAACAAGATAACGTCTTGTTAGATTTTGGAAACAGTCAATGTCACTTTTCTGCATTGCTGCAAACTTTAGTAATGGGGCGCTGAACATGTCTAAAATTTTATTTTTTCAAATTTTAGGGCATGTTGCTATGGTAACCATGACACATAGCAACAATTTTTACCTGGTAGGAGTTTATGGCATTGTCATATTGTAATTTTTGAATTTACCGGATGATAGTAAATACAAAAATTACAATATACTACCACCCGGTAAATTAAAAAATTACAATATGACAGCATCAAATACTTTTATCATAGCAAGTTTTAAGATGACTCTACTGTTTTTACAAAACTCTTATAATGAGATGTGCATCTTTGGTGCCGTTGCAATGTTAATCTGGTTTTCTATTCAGTTGGAAGGCGGTCTGGGTGTATTCTGTTGATTTTTTAAAAAGTTTTAGGTCTGTAGGAAGTCTCAAGGCCAAATTAATAGTTGCGTAGTTGGAGGTTTAATTAAATATTTTGACATTTCTTATCACGAGTCTTCTTGAAAAAAATATGCCGCCGCGTTTTCGACGATACTTTTATGATATCTAAAGGCATTAAGATGAAATTATTTAGTCTTTTTGAAGAAGTGTAGCAAAGTCGGTCACTGAACAAGGAAGCGTACCGCATTTCATTAAACTTGTAATTTTTTCCCCAACAACATAATGTTTAAAAAAGAACATGACACGTTCATCGATCTATCTTTGTAATGAAAATAAGTCAAATGCTTTTAAAAAGTTTTGTAATATTTTATTTGGTAATTGGTTCGTAGTCCCCCAGAACTTCTCTACGGGACACCAAAATGATGTAGTGCATCCTTTTATCATTTTCAAAATAGCTGCTTTATATTATTTCAAGTAGCCCTATAAAGATGTCTAATTTATTGGCCAATCTGCATCTAGTACGTTGTATTCTCCACAATCAATGGAATACCTTCGCACTATCAGTCCACCCATTTATTTCTCATCCATCACTGGCTCCAACAATGGCGATCTTTCCAGAGCCCTGTCTTCTGCTTCTAACGTAGAGGATCTTCGGCCTAGGGTCACATGACCTCTGGCCAGTCCAGCTGACCTGGCCAGAAAGGCCATGTGATGGGTCACTCCTCGCCGTGCACGCTTTGTTACTGTGTACCAAACACCTGAAGGATAAGATATAAAAAGTCACATCCCATTGTTGTCGAAATTAAAGGATGAGTTTTTGTCTCCGACTGAAAGCTGTCATTGGTTTTTGCTGTACAATGCGGCTGCACTGCTACCGGGCAGGAAATTGATAGGTTTAGCCAAATGCTGGTGTCAAGGGTCTTATGTTTTTATTAAAACCAACTGTTATTAATCTTCAAAATTGACTCATAAGTAGCCAAGAGGAGGGTGTAAAAATGTTCACTACATGCGAACGGTAGTAAAAATACATTTAACTACCTTTCATCTTATGCTCAGTGATAGAAAAACGGCACACTAAATGATAACATTTTGAACTTTTGAAAATAAAACTGGTGTGTTCCCTATTTTTACGATCTGACCAAAGTGTTGGGGAGGATTTGTATACATGTCGGTGATATTTTTATAGGTGGTCAAACAAAAGAAAATATTTCACATTCCATATACAGTGTACTTTTTATGACTGCAAATCAACATGGTTTTATGATATTAGTTGCATCCTTTTAATGAACCACCGAAATTTGGCTATTTAAAAAATATAGAATTTATATTATTCCATTCAATATCAAATGAAAGTTTCTGTTTTATATCTTTTTTGCACTATCAGCAGAAGGTATGAATGATCTGCCATCAGTTCATTTACATTATACAGTGTATTAGGAAGTGCAAAGTATCTGGTAACGTCACAGTGAAATGTTTCCTTGGTCCTTAACATCAAAATATTTACATAGAAAAGATTCGTGAGATCACTTAATTTTATAGTGCTATATATATAATTTTTCAATGGAAGCCTTTTTGAAAATATTGAATTTATCAAGATTCAATTTGATGATTAAGAAAAGAAAGAACCAAACTGGAATTTGATTTATGATTTGATGGTTTATGATTATAACAGAAGAGAGAGCTAGGTTCACTAGATGTGTAACATGGCCGTATTTCTGGACCTTTTATTGACTTGTCATCCAAAATCTAATTTAAAACATTCGTAAAAAATAGAGATTTTAATGCTTTCATGAAAGTTCTGAGAGTCCACGATTGAAACCAACACATTAGAAAAAGAATACTTGAAATATTTTCCACTCATTTCGGTGAACATTTTATTTTTAGAATATTTTTTTTTATAATATTGAAAATGAATATAAGTACTCTTCCAATACTAGAACTCTGCTTTCAGCGAATCCTTACTGATGTCATGTATCTCATATAATTTTACTCCATTTTTCTTTCATTAATAGAACCATTTAATTTCAGATGTACACGCCATAAAATCTTAGACATCGCTTTTTATGACGAGAAAACTATGTCCATGCTATTGGTACAGGACCTTAAAGAGGAACGTCCAGTCCTGGTACAGTTACCACTGACAACGATAGCAGACGACATGTACACGATGGTTAATCAAGAGACAGGAGTGGAAGAAGCCAAAATGTAGCTATACCTTTGATTAATATAGCCTATTTGATTTAAAGGATTCGGAAATCTCTTTCAAAGAAACATGTCAAGAATTTTGAAACTTTTGCCTGAAATCATACGAACTTGCTTCTTAAAAAAAGAAAGAAAGAAAGAAAGAAAGAAAAATCCCCCCCCCCAACCCCACACACAAAGACGTTCAATGGAAGTCTAGTGAATAGACTTTTTGTGGCGTAAAATTTAAACCATGGATACGGCTTAAAGTCATAAAAAGCTAAATATTTTGGAGAAGTTGAGAAAAAATTTTCTTGAGAACACCAATAATTTGTCAAATTATATGTAACATCCTTTAAAAACAAAAGCTTCGAGGCGTAAAATTAATTTCCTGAGAGGCAGTGACTCGGAGGAACAATTTCTTTCCAGTAACACGTTGGATGTTGGCGACAGGCTGGAACCCTCTTGCTGTCGGCGTTTAGACAATATGAGAGCTCACTCTTTTGCAGTTAGTGGTACCAGAAAAACGGCCACAGTAGTAAGTCCTTACACAGCCACTAATGTTTTCTTAGATATGAGTAGTAAGTCCTTACACAGCCACTAATGTTTTCTAAGATATGAGTAGTAAGTCCTTACACAGCCACTAATGTTTTCTTAGATATGAGTAGTAAGTCCTTACACAGCGACTAATGTTTTCTTAGATATGAGTAGTAAGTCCTTACACAGCCACTAATATTTTCTTAGATATGAGTAGTAAGTCCTTACACAGCGACTAATGTTTTCTTAGCTTAACTCAGAGCATGTTTCTGGTTAGAGCAAAGGTGATGTTAAACTTTCGAGTGAAACAATTGTCAGGCATATAGAAGTCCTTACTAGTACATGTTTTACTAGCAGAGAGTCCTTATTTGGATCGACATTTGCTATTTAAAAATTGTTGTCCTTGACAAGTGTAATCTAGAACTTGACTCATTACAAAAAATAGAATTGAATTTGATTTCATGATAGCCTACCTGTTCTACAGAGTTTAGAAAACGTTGAACATCAATTCTTTACTTAAATGAGGGGTAATTGCAAAAGAAGTGCCACACTTTTTTGTAAGCCTGTGTGTTTAATTCGTGTGTCGTCCTAGTGGCATAGAAAATCGCACGTGTAAGTGGGGTTAATCATATTTATCATTTTCTGTGTGGGATCCGTTAAAAATTTAATGCTTCTTGGTCATGTAAAAGGGACACATGAGTAGTCTAACTGGATAGTTGAATATGATTCTCAAATTAAAACCATTATCTTTGTTATTCCTTTAAAGTCCTTTAAAATAGAATCCCTCAAGACGGATTTTTATATAAATCTTGTTAATGAAAATGTGCATGAATGGGATATTTTTGAAAAGTAAATAGATGTGAGACTGAATGTGTTAAGTGACATTTTCCAGTTCGACGAGGACATTATCAATAGACGTTCCACTTTGCGTTAAGATATAAAGTTACAGAGATATGAAGTGTGTTTTTGTATGTAGATTATTTTTTTTCTTCCAGTGTTAAGAAGTATAAGATGATTTCTGTGGGGAATGGTTTCAGATTTCAATTAAATCACACTTACTTTCATTCTCACTTTAGTTGTTTTCGTCACGAAGACGAGTGAGGATTTTCCTGATGGACGCAGAGGAAGAGGACGACGACGAGGAGGAGGCGGAAGAGGAAGGAGACGATACTGGGGATCAATCAGGGGAACTCAACTCCAGCGAGGTCCACGACGGGGAAATGCAGATTGACGAAGCTGGGGACATAGAGGATGAAAACAAGGAAAATACCAGCATTATCAGCACTACAGAATAAGGACTAAAACTGAATCCAGAACTGAAATAGTAGTGATCCGTTGCGCTGAATTTTATAAATGGACAGTTTGTACACAGTTTTTAAATCAACTCCTGAACAACGTTGATTTAATAAAATTAGACTGCATTTCCCCCTTGATAAGTACATAGGGACAAATGTACTTTTGATTAATAAACAATTGAACAATATGAGTTATTCATTTTTTTATGAAGTGAATAAAAAAAGCTTTATGCTGTGTGTGTATCATAGCATATGGGTTCACGTATAAGAACTCGGAACAATAATTTAACTTTCAAATGATTTATTATCCTCCCCCCCCCCCCCGTTTTTTTTGATTGGAACAAATAGAAAGGTAATGCGTTATACACATAGGATCTGCATGATATTTTAACTTTCCCCAATTTATAGATCAGAAAATTTTAAGTTCACCCAAAATTAATGTTTCTGTTCTTTTCGTGACCTATCGTACGATAACTATTACAGCTCTTCCAATTTTTTTTATTATTGGTATTCACTGGATCGTGAAACTCAAAAATTAGAGAACAAGTCTGTATTTTAATCAGGATCTAAAAAAATTGTAGGTAGTGATCACAAGTCCCATATTTCCTTTTATGGATCACAAAGTAAATCTGGCCGTCGTCGGCGTCTGTTCATGAATTTTATTCTGCCAATTTAAAGGAAAAAAAAACTTTTTAAAGTAAGAAATAAACACGTGGGCTTTCTTTTCTTATACACATTCCCGTCAAAATTTTCCCTCCAGATTTTATCATGAAAATTGTCATGATTATGTAATAACGTTTATTTTTTCAATGCAATCTTCAGCTAGATTCTATTTGCTGGCACGCTTTCACCTGGCGTGTAGATTTCCTGTTGTTTTTTGCGGAGCAGGTGTCTGTTCAAAAAAAAAGTTGTTGACTAAAGAAGCGCGAAAGTGTCGCGTGCTATAATGCAGTTGGAGATGAAACTCGATACCAAAGGCTGGACCGTGTTGGGCAATATATCTGGTATACAATACGCAATTATTTCTCATATGACACTTTCCTTATAAGGTGATCACTTTTACAAACATAAATCACCGGTGTTCTAGATTTAGTCAAATTTCAGTTGGCAGTAAATGACGTCGAGTCCTACGTCTCTGGCCTTTTATCGAAACCACACCATGCAGGTGGATCTAATCAATTAAGTTCCGGTTCTATTTATACTTTTTTGATGTATTTGGTACTAAGTATGTTCGAATATGTAGTATAAATAATCTGAGGCTGTAAACGTGGACATAAAGAATGGACATCTTTGGAGTCTTGCGTGGAGGTGAACCAAGGAGGCCCTGGATGGTCATAGGTGTTTCCCACAAGTATTATACATATGTTATTGCTATGAAACTGTCATCGGTGAAACCCACACGTCTAATCCTGTCAATGCATATAGAAAAGAATACATTTATACTCGTTTTGTTCTTTTTTTTTTTTGAACCTTTGAACAAGATGTCATATTTACAGTGTACATGTATCAGTAAACACAACATTTACAATAGGTTGTCATATTGCAATTTTGTATTTACTGCCACCCCGTAAATATTACCTTGAAATCACTGATTTCATGGGGGATTTCAAGAGACCAACGAAGTTATGTCCTCCATAAGTGTAAAATTTTGAATATGTAACAACTCAGCACTTCTTCAACCGCGAGATCAAATCCCTTTGAACCAATGTTTTTCTCAAACCTCAAAATTCGACCCATCGAAAATATATGATTTTACAGTTTTAAAAAATAACTATATGACAAAATCCATTTTATGATTTATTTTTTGTTTCGCTCCCTGTATTTAAAAAAATACTATATATAAAAAGATAAATAAATAATTAAATGAAAATTCTCGAATTCTGTTGTTAAAATGCATCAAATCAGAATTACATGTACGTATAATAGAAGTAAAATTCTATTTAATATTTCTTTATTTACATGTCGAATTACGAAATTGTACGTTAAAAATTGGGTTTCTCATATATACTTCATCAATGTATCGATGCACTTGCGGTTTTTTGTGTAAATATTTGATTTAATTTTCAATAAAATTATAAATTTTCCTTACGTCTGCACTAGGTTGAACCATTGGACTATTAAAAATTATTTTTTTTTTAAGTTGCAGAGTAATACAGAAATGATACTACAGAAAAAAAAGTAAACCAATAACTTTCTAGGTGTTCTGTTAACTCAACAGTATTTGTGTTCAAATCTTCATGGGTGTTAAAAAAGTCAAAGGTAAAATAACCTTATTCAGTGCATTTTTATGGTTACTGTATCACATGGAAGGAGAATATACCCGCTTCTTCTGTCGTGATTAAAATCTAATATTACCTCCAATCTGTGCAAAATGTCCCCCTCCCCTGTATTTCTGCACAAATCCCCATTGTCTTCAGTGTTAGAAATAACACGCCATAAAAAGCAAATTCAGGACTCTCGTTTCATTTTGCACCGAGAAAAAAAGTTTTTATACCAAATGTTTTATATTAGGTATCAGGCATGCTTTACCCTCGGCTTTGATTGAAATGGGATTAATTTGACCACCTATACGGGTTCCATTTCTCTTTCTCATCTCGTATAAAGAGGATCGGAGTTTGAACAAACCTAGTAATCAGTCTTTTATTTTCAAACCGTATGCCAGAGAGAATAATATACAGTTTCAAGTTCCAATTTACATATAATCAATGCAACAGTTAATTATGTTAGCCATTGGGTGCAACGGAAGGAAAAAGATATTCCTACAAAGGGTGTAGTTGCTTGAAAATCGGTTTTCTGAGCACCTTTTTTTTAATGGAACGTAAAGAAAAAATATCAAAAAATGTTTAATTTTTAAAGAAAAAAACTATATTCATTTAGCTAATTGATCAGTACTGAATTTTGCACCTAAAGATAATTATTCATTGTTATCAAATATTATTAAAACATAAATTAAAAGTAACATAAATTATCGGCTTTTATTTTAATTTTAAATAATTGATTATCAACAATACAACTTGGTTGTTATGGTTACTAAGCAGTAAAGGTGGCAACAATAGAGAAAGGACAAGGTATGGTAAAAGCCGAATCTAGCCCCTTATATGATGTAAAAATCAGAACACAGTTAAAATTGTGATAGTTTGTAGATAAGAACTTAAAATGATGCTTGTTTTAAACCAGCACTAATTTTGATTCAAAGCTTACACGCAGGCCACAAGAGGTTGCAGAAGTAGGACATTTTCCCGAATTTCCTCAATTCTGGTGAAATTTCGTCAAATTTGAGATACTTTTCACTTTGGGAAACATAGAGCACAAGCTTGCCTATCTGAGATTTTTATACATAAGATGCATCTGATACTAGTGTATGAAATATATAAATTTGGTAGATAGGCAAGCTTGTGCTCTATGTTTTCTGAAACAAAATGTGCTGTAAAATCGATGAAAATTTGCATAAAAATGAGAAAATTCGGAAATTGACATATTTTCTGACCTTCCTGCGACCTCTGTGTAACCCATAACTTAGAACCAATACTCATTTTGTGGCAGGGGTAGCAACAGGTTTCTAGTGATAAACTGTTGCATCGTTCTAAAAAGACACTCCAAACCAGGGGCCAAAAAGGGGTCTTAGCCTATCTTGTCCTTTCAACATTTCTAAGCATCATGTAATTACTTTTCGCATTTAGATTGAACCTCGTTGAAAGCTAGTTAAATGATTATTAATAACTGTTAAAAAAGTATGGGTAATTTTCTTAAAAGGAAACAACGGAGAAGCTACTATATATTCATCCTTTTTACTCAATTTTTTTTAGTGTATTTTATTAGACACCAATATACCCCTTATAAAGAGGTATTAATTTTCAAAGAATCATGAATCATTTGTTGATGCTAGCCTCTAAATGATTTTAATTTTTTTTACCTATTTCTTTTTCTGTGTATATATATATATATATATATATATATATATATATATATATATATATATATATATATATATATATATATATATATATATATATATATATATATATATATATATTTATATATTAGAAATATATATTTTCAATAATATATTTTCAGAAAAGAATTTAATTTTTGAAGATTCATGAGAACATGAACTACGACGCTTCACGCCGGGATATTTCATGTACCTCACGAATTATCAAAAATTAGAATTTATATTTACATTTTTTTCTGCACAAGTTACGTCATTCAACTATCATTCATAAAGCTAAACAGTTTGCACTATAGTTTTGACGTTATGTATGGTATTATGACGTAACAATGGATATATTCATGCTCATCCATGGTAGTTCATGAGAAAATGAACAGCCTTCTAATTTGCAAAGAATCTTTAGGAAAAACATTTGGAAATCTAAATATATATAACAAAACATTTATTGAATGAGTTCTCTGGCAAAATGCAATTTGTCCAACCCTCAAATCAAACTGTTGTTTTCGGCTTAGCGGCCTCAAGCAAACAGCTTGATTCTCGGATTCGACAAAACACATGTTGCCTCGAAACCCAATAAATGTTTGATAGTTACGTGAACTGATATCAGTCCCAGAGAGTCTTTTCAACCGTCACTCATAGTCAGTTAAATGCTTGTTGAAAGCATTTCGTCGTCTGAAATCTATTATGGAGATCTTTTTGTGTGTTTATATATCATTTTATGCATCTATAAAATCATTTTCTCAAAGTCCTATAGATGATCTTCATCTGACCATAACTGCATATATTCCGAAGTAGTTATGAAAACAAAGTCCAATTTAAATTATTCAAACGTTCTATCCTAATGATTGTGTGAGAAAGTTATGATTTAAATGTGAATTTGAATTATTCAGTGTAAATTTTATTTCCATGTTGCTGATTGCTATCAAGGAAAAGAATTAAATACAACATGGAATTAAATGTAGGTAATGGCGGGGAAAACGTTCATGAGAGTGGGGCCATAGATGTGGTCCCCTTCGCTACAGTGATCACAAAAAAATAATTTGACGATCAGATAGCGAGTGATTGAGACATGAAGATATTATCGGAGTCCCACGAAAGGGAAACTTCTCATATCGCTTCATCTCCCGAAACAGTAATATTGATATGAAACATAATTATCCCAACTAAAGCCAAAAATGATGGCTTCATTACTTTCATTGTC